CTTTTGCTCGGGCTTCCGAAAAGAGGGCTCCGGGGTATGCGTACAAAAGATAAACTATGTTACAGTATACAAAACGCAACATAGAAGTTGAAATAAACTTATATGTGGTGTGATTGACAATGAGACAACTATCCACCAGAGTTTAAATGCAGTGGGTGTAAGAAATCATATATAGACAACCGTACAGCCTTCAACACACCGTATAGTCAGCTACAAAAGGCCACCATGCACCATGTGAAAAAATTCAAACGATAAAACAAACGGTCTTATTTATATTTAAACAATCTACAACAAAAAATGACACACATTTATACAACGAAAACAATTGAACTTCATGTTCCTGATTTGGGGCAGGTACATAAAGACCTGTGGCGGAGTTTACCATGTATGTGAGCGCTAAATCCTAACCTTACATCGGACTGTTACAGTTGTGTAAAGCACAAAACGAGAAAAAAATGTAAACTAGACAAAGTGATGCCCCCGCACTCAACTCATTTAAATTAACCGCTTATACCCCAAAAATGACAAAAAAAAGATCAATTATCTCCCAAAAGAACAAAAGATAATAAAATTAAAAACCCAGACCACATGCACACCTTTAAAAAATTGTACAAACAGCCAGCAGAGTGAAAGCCTCCTAGCATTCAAACTGTAGGAGGAGTTATCTGGAAACGCTCTTCTTATGCAAGTAAATTTCCCAAAAAAATACAAAAAAAAGTTCAACTATCTCCCAAAAGAGCAAATATTAATGAACATTTAACCCTGACCACATGCACACCTTCAATATATGTACAAACAGACAGTAAAGAGAAAACTTCCTAGGATTCAAACTGTAGGAGGAGTTATGCGGAATAACTATATATCTATAATGGGACGGACAGACGGACGGACGGACGGGCAGGGGTAAAATAATATGCCCCCCAACTTTCAGTTGCGGTGGCATAGAAAACAGTTTCATTTGGCTGACCCAATAGATCGGTATGACTGGGTAATATAAATCCATCGGGGTGATCTCAGATGCTCCAGAAAGGCACCCATCGTGTTATTCGAGAAAGTACAAACCCAGTGATTTGGTTTTATTTGGTAGTTCACATTCAAGGAAAAGATGACAGTATTATGGTTACGACCACTGTAACATGTCCGTCGTCACATGTGAAACAGATATTCCAAAAAGTTTATTTTTCAATTAGTGCGAGGTAGATCAGGGAATTCAATTGATTACAAATAAAAGATTGATATTCATATAAGTTCAAATGATCATTTACGCTAAAAAAAAAAATCGGAGAATTCTTATTTTATAGTATTTATGCTTTGTCGCTAAGTCCGAGCCCCCTCCCCCCGTTTCCCTGTAACTTTAGTGTGAGTTGATTTGAAGTGTTTCATTTGTTAACAATAAAGTTCAAGTCTTTTAATTTGTGTCGAGCCTGCGACATCAATGTAGCAGCAGCGAGACACAACAAACCTATATTTCGTCGTCGATAGTGGCGTCAGCGTCTCCATCTCCATTTTTTAAATTTCTATTGAGTTTAACCTTTCATTATACATGTTACTAAACATGTATGCCATCATAATTTTGTACTTTTAGAATATCATACTGTATTTGTTTACCTCAACTATTGTATCTGTATTTATATTGTATGTTTCTCTGTAAACTTGTAATTAATTTTTAGAGAATAAAGTATCTATCTATCTATAGATCGTTAGGTTTCTAGTTTTTTACATTTTCCATTTCGGGACCTTTTATAGCTTACTATAGGGTATAGGTTTTGCTTATTGTTGAAAACCATACAGTTTTGTTTTAGTTAAATAAAACCGAATTAACCTGTTTTGACATGATAAATTTGTAAACCTCCATGAAGTGTTTTGAAACTTGTATAGGAGTTATTCCTCAATTTCAAGAAAAAGCATCTACAGAAAAACATTTCTTTTTTACCGATAAATGTATAGATAAATGTACAGCCGATCGACATGACGCTTTTACACTTACAGCAGCAATATCAGGCGAGACACAGGGTTCCGTGGAATATTTTACAAATTTATTACAAAAATACTGCTTCCGTTTGAGAACTTAAGATAATAAAATGCTCCGCTTGGCGCAGCTTGATACGACCGCAGAGATCGAACCCTGAACAGTTGGGGCAAGTATGGACACAACATTCAAGCTCGATACAGCACTGAATTTGGATTGTGATTAAATATTTGACACAGCATAGGTTTCTGACACAGAATGAATGTGGTCTAAGACCTTAAAAAAATTTAATTTATCTATTCAAACTATATCATTATTATTTGCTTTTATATATAATAAATCAGAAATAACCAATTTAAAATGGCAAATTTTAAAGAAAAAAAAGGAAAAAAAATCCCCCCCAAATTTTTTGAACCCCCTTATGATTCATCACCCCCAAACTCAATCCCAGCCTTCCCTTTGTGGTATGGTACCTTGCAGTACAATTTCAGAGAGATCCATACACTTGAACACAAGTTATTGTCTGGAAACTAGAAAAATGCTTTTTTTTGGCCCCTTTTTGGCCCCAAATTCCTAAACGTTTAGAGCAATTACCCCCAAACTCAACCCAGCTTTTCTTTTGTGATATGGAACCTTGTAGTACAATTTCAGAAAGATCCATACACTTACACATAAGTTATTGTCATGAAACTAGAAAAATGCTTGTTTTTTGTCCCTTTTAATTCCTAAAATTTGGAGGCAATTACCCCCAAAATCAATCCCAGCTTTCCCTTTGTGATATGGAACCTTGTGGTACAATGCCAGAGAGATCCATACACTAACACACAAGTTATGTCTGGAAGTTACAAAAATGCTTATTTTTGGTCCCTTTTTGGCCCCTAATTCCTTAACTGTTGGTACCATAACCCCCAAAATCAATCCTAACCTTCCTTTTGTGGTATTGCACCTTATGGTAAAATTTCATAGAGATCCATTCACTTAAACTAAAGTTATAGTGCGAAAACCAATGTGTCTTCGGACGACGACGACGACGCCGGACGACGACGCCAACGTCATACCAATATACGACCGCAAAATTTGTATGCGGTCGTATAAAAACAACAAGACCAAGTGGTTTGGGGATATCCCAACTATTTCCGAAATACTGTAAACTTTTTAATACTTTTTTTCTGATTATTGTCTGCCGTTCTCCTTTTTCATACCAAATAACTCTGAACAACGACTCGAACTTTAATTTTAATTTTAACTCAATGGATAGCGATACCCATCCAAAGCACATTAAATAAATGACATATTGAAATCTGTTTAAAAATAGAACATATTTTTTTCCGAATTGGTCACGTGATTTTACCTCATCAGGTAATGGGATAACCACATCAAAGAATGACAGGACCACATCAAATAATGAAACAAACACATCATGTAGTGTAAAATCGTCAAATTTTGAAACATCATTACGTAATGTTAAAACCATATTACGAAATAACAAAACCACATCATGTAATGAAACAACTACATAACGTTAAGTCACATTCACATCAAGTAATGTTAAAACCACATTGACAAATGACACAACCACATTAAATAATGATGAAACCACATCGAGTAATGACAAAACCATATTGAGTAATGACAAAACCATATAAAGTCAATACGAAACCATATCGTGTAATATCGAAATATCATTAAGTAATGACTATTCCATATTGAGTTATATCAAAACATCATTACGTAATGTCAAAACAATATTAAGTAAAGACTAAATATCATCAAGTAATAATAAAACAACATTAAGTAATATCAGAGTTCCACATAAGACAGCTGTGGCGTTCCATATATTACTATTGTCTATATGACGCAATATGAATATTAATATGTACTTATTATCAATAGAAGATATGTTTCCTTTTAATAAAAATGTTTTTGGATGTAGTCATACTGTAAGATATTTTTTCTTTGATCGGATGCATCATTCAGTGTGAGATTAAGATGCTTACAAGCTTGTTTTATACTGGAGTTATAAAGTTGAGAGACAGACCATTGATATCTTTACCCATGCTCTTTCCGTACACCAATATTTTAAACAATTTTTAGAACAAATGAGACTAGAAAAATATATTAATACTTAATTTACATCCGAATATATATGTCTATTGAGAATTAAACATATTATATATATACATCTATAAAGTTTGAAAATTAGAATATTTCGAATCGTTTAAAAATATAAATAATGTGCATTTCCTCCATAAACGCATCGCCATTAGACAAATGTAATAAAAAATGATTAAATATATTGAAATATATTAAAATTTGATATATATTATACGCTTTGGTAGGATAAGTTTTGTTTTACAACGAGAGCAGCTGTTTATAAACTATGGTTGCACGTGTGAAAAAAAGGGCCAATTGATATTCATTGAATATATAGGAATATTTATAAATTATATAAAATATATAACTTGTTATATCAACAGCCTTATATTTAGGGTGTAAAATTGTCATGCATGGGAACAGTCTTGTGTTAATATTGGCGAGAAATCCATGCATACGTCTTAAATTATATAGATATAGTAAAAGCATCAATAAGGTGAAAGAGGTGATTCTAGTTTTGGCCGTCCATCCAAACTAATGTAACATAGAACCCCAACATGACTGTACATCTCCCATTTCATTCAAGTAAGTTTTCGACACAAACTTACGTCTTTCACTGGGTTATCAATAACATCCTGTTCATTTGATGAACAGCAGTGAATTATTTCCGAAATACGTGCTCAATGTTTTAATTGTATTCAACGTATGTATACTCAAATAAAAAATAATAAAGGAGATGTAGTATTATTAATTACCAATGAGAAAATAACGTATTCAACTGAGACCTATAAGGACGAAGATGTAAACAACAATATGGCACTATACATCACTCAACAATGAGCAAAAACGATACGGGCATTTGAATTTCTCATTTTATGAAATGTTCAAAAAAGTACTATAAGATCTGTAAATTTTGTCATTTTGTTTCTGTTTCTAGGGACATCCTATCCACTTGTTGGAGGTTATTTACCAGGAACACCAACAGAACATCTTAAATCGTTACTTCCAGAGGAATATTGGGCGTCACATGTCGATGGTATGATATAAAACCACAATTGTCATTTGTAAACATTTATATAACATATTAAACCTAATGACTATCGCTTATCTTTTAAAAAAAAAAGTAAATATAAATGCGTCATATTTAAGCCTTTCTTTCTATGCATGCATAGGATGTATTGAACGCCAAGCCATAGTTGACGACAGCAGATAGTGAAATACAATTACCAATTGTTTTCCATTTTTATCATTATTTTTTATGAAAATATTTCCTTCAAGTACTTTATTTTATTTACTGCAAAGGTTACCATATATTAATGAAAATGGGGGAAATTGATATTGTTTCCTATTCATATTTGTGTACCTCAAACCTGAAGCAACCTAAGATGATTAGGCCAAAATCAATGTACATTGGAATGTTAGTTTCAGAGGAAGATTTAATATGGTATTATGTTTCGAAAAACGTTTTGTTCGTTTGAAGTGGGAGGCCTACATGGCTGCCATTAGATGTAAAGTATAAAGGAAAACCAAATTTGTAGTCTTCCTTCAAATTAATTTATCTTGAAATCTGGCAGTTAACATGGTTAACATAGAATGTTAATATTTTGTTTAGCACTTCAATAAAATGTAAAAAAAAATGTTAAAAATAAATTTACGGTCGGCACAAAATAGAATTTACTTCTATTTTGTTTCATATATATATATTTTATACCAACGGATAATTGTTGTGGAAGTTTTCATGGCTTTTGAACAAAGTAAAAACTGAAATGTGAATATTTATATAAAATTTTATCTACGTCACAAAACCATAACGGCGCCATTTTATTTGCTTCTGTTAGTTGTAATAAATTGTTGTAACATATTGTTGGTCAGAAGGGTTTAATTTAATTTTCCCATTAAAAATCTATACCAAAGAACACGAAATATTAGCTTCATTTGTTTCAGTGAACGTTATATTTACACGTACATTGTAGGGATTGGCAAGATATTCAGATTTCAAGTTAGTGGCATAAAATATTCAATAGCCAATTAATAAGGATATTAAAATGACGTCATTCTACTCCATATAAATTGATAATGTAGTTCTTCTAACTATCAGCCGTGTAACAAAAACAATTTCATGTGATATAGAAATTTTTCAATTTAAAAAGAAATCAAGTTTTGCTTGTTTTGTTATTTTAATTAGTTCACTTTTTTTTTTTTTGCCAACAGTACTGAATAAGTATATTCACCACCTTGAACACACAAGTTTGATATGCACATCAGATGTTTTATTGTGTGAATCGATTATTTTATTATGTAATGATTTTAAAACCACATATTATGATATATACATATATATATATATATATACAAGTCTAAATTGAAAACAACGTTCAAACCTATGATTGTGTTGGATAAAAACCGCAATTTTCATACGTGTGCATGCACAACAAATTTCTTGGTAGAGGTGTCTAAATACAGCACAAACAACATTTTCCAACAGACCAAAAAAGTGAAAAAGTATATTTTAACAAAACGCATTTGACTAGCAGGTCTATACATATATCTGTTATCACTGAATTTGAACATTTAAACATCATAACTTTAACTGAAACAATTACAACTTTTAGAATTCGCTACCTTTACAAAATTTAATAAAAGTTGATAATTGCTTTTTTGGCCTTAACATATTGGGGTCGGCATGAGACACTTCGAGTAGCAAACAAAGCATAGATCATGGATAAAATATATATTAATAGGACAAATCTATCTTAACACACAAAATATGACCTTGGATATCACAACTTAACTGCATGTTTTACATAATGTGATAAATAAGGAGAAATAGACATGTTTGCACTAATTATTCCTGGCAATGTTCTCCCATTGACATATATCCTTCGATGATTATATTTTGTGAAACCAGAATTCCATCCATAAGCTCTGTAACTCTGCTAATCAGATGACGTTCAAGCTTTATTGATTTTGTTCGCCGTCATAGCTCCATATGTTTGTTTTTCAGGTTCCCGATATGTGCTCAACAATAATCTTTACTCGCCATATTTTCCTTACCTACCGGCGACGGAATCCCTGTCACTGTTTGCCCACAACCTAGGGGCAGGGGGAGTGGATCAGTCGGGGTATCATCGGATTTATGATCTTCGAAAAGGTAAGTATATGTAGTTGCTATGCCAACAGTATTGGTAAATTTAGTATTTTTCGATATCATTTAACCTAGGTCATTTTGACATTATTTTTTTGTAAAATGAACAAAACATTTTTTAATAATATGTGTACAATGGTTAATATGAATATTATATAAATTTCAGAATTTGTATTCTGTTGTAATCTTTCCTACAACGCAAATCACTTGTTCTATTGTAAAAAAGATATTGCAAAACTATAGTTTGTTTGATTCTCTTACAGATGCAGCGCTCTATTCTGGCCTTCAAATGGTACCGTCTACTTCTGTTGGGTCACAAAATTCTCAGACCGAATCGAATACCAAAAAAGATCCATCCAGATCTGAATCTAAACGAACTGATTCGACAAAGACTAGCGGTAAAATTCAAGATACCGTCAGCAAGGCCTACAATTCACAGAAAACATTTAAGGATACAGATAAACGGTCAGACGTGAAGAAAACGGAGAAAACTCAAGTTTCTAAATCAGTTTCTAGTACTGTCAGCAAAACTGTAAATTCAAAGAAGGATAAAGTTAGTAAATATAGTGATGATAAAAACGAGGACAAAAATAAAAACAGTAAAAAAGATGAAAAGACTCCAAAAATAACATCTAATGATAAATTGGAAAAAGTAAGTGATGTACTCATGAAAGATTCTAAATTAGGTCAAGATGAAAATGCAGATTTGAAAAAATCGAACGATGAGCTGGAAGAATCTGAAAAAGACAACACCGAAGAAAATTCAGAACAGAAAATGAGTAACGAAATCAAAGAACAAGTTATAAAATGTAAAGGTACAAATTCTGTAACTCTGACAACAGTTACCAGTTCATCGAGTATTGTTTCAGTTTTGGAATCTCCAAGTGGGTCTAGTCAAATCAAACCAGTTGCCACAACAGGTAATTTTGTGTTAATTATTTATTAATTATTCAGTAAGCAGTGTGCAAGGTTTGTTCAAAGTAACATTTAATGGTGAATCAATGTCAAAAGATATGGTAGCATTAACGCACCGTCCATTCATTTTTTGTTGGTGGCATGTGTATATTTTTTTTTTTAATTGTTTGATTCTATATTTGAGGCTAATAATTTGTTTCAGATGGAAAATGAAAAATTATTTATTTCTTGATTAAACAAAATTTCGTACTTTTATGTTATGGAAATTAAATTGATTATTATTTTTTTATTTAAGTTGATAAAAAAATGTTTGTTCCGACATTAAAAAACATACTGCTCTCTCCCAACTCACCAACTTACATCAAAAAGATAAATGGTCGCTGCATAATGGACCCATTACGAAAAAATCGTTAAAAGTAAATTAATATCACAAATTATTTTTTTTTTCATAAAAAGAAGTAGAGTTTGTCAATCTGTATGTGATGATTTGATGTTTTAATTTACATAACAAAAGGATTGTTTTTAATTTTGTATCTTTCAAGGTCGAGATACGAAAGCTAATAGAACTATGTTCCGGAACGACAAATGATCCGGAAATCAATTATAAAAAATATTAGCTAATAATTTCCGAATTACTTACCCATTTGTCATGTCAATAGTTCGATAAATATACAGATTTTATACTTTTTGGAATTTTAGTTTCATTTTCTTGTGCTGTTAAGAATCTGGATATGTATGGTGCTTTTATGTTGAATTCGAAACCCTGGTTGCTTGGTATATTTCTCCGCTTCTTGCTTCAAATATTAAATGAACCATTTAAAGTTATACGATCTTCCTTTTAAAAGGTTACGTTTTACTTGTAAATATGATAGAATCGTAAATGGGAGTTGGCAAAATATATATCACAGAGGGAAGAACACTCTAACGCAAGTTTTTAGATCTAAAATTGTTGTGCTAAATTTCTTTATCTAATAAGGTTTCGGTTTGTAGCAAAAAGTGAGGTAGCAAGATCTATAGAAAAAAGAACAGATAACACCATGACCCAAAATATTTAAAAAAGACAAAAGATCAACAACAAGGCACTAAACACCACACAGAAAACCAAACATTTAGCAAAACGAACTCTACCCGTGGTTATTTGTTCACCCATCCATATGTTCAGCAGGTCATATGTTGTTGTAAAGTGAGTGTAGTGTATAACTAAAATGTGAGGTTGTAAGGTATATTCTGTTCTTGTTATTTTTTGTGTTGTAAGGTATATTCTGTTCTTGTAATTTTTTGTGTTTTTCAAGCACTCAGATTTCTTTAATGGAACTTGTAATGATTGATTGCTAGTTGCGTTAAGCTAAGCGACAAATATGTCATTCTTTCCAAGAAGATGGACAGATCTTGATCATATGAAACTTAATTAAAGATTGGTAATGAGCATTTAACTGGATAGTAATTTTATTTATCGATGCAATGTCCAATCGATGTATTGTATTGACTTTACTTCTGAGTTCATACCTATTAAATTTTACTATTCAACAGGAGTTTTACACTTTTTGTATTCATATCTTTAAGGTTTTTCTACCCAACAACAGTTATTACTCTATATGCACATCATTTTTGCTCTGGTATCCATTACATGACATATTAAAAATTGTATGTCACATAAAAACTTTTTAATTAAAACGGAACATTTTTTTGTTCCGTTCTATGCTAATTTCTAGCTTTAGATTAAACTTCAACTGGAACGTCAAAAATCAATAGTTTGGGCAGCCAAAAGGGAAATATATAAGAACATATGCAAGCGGTTAAATTTATGTAAAGTTTAGATTATATAATGTATGTCTGTCCTTCTTATATATAGACTTCTTTTGATACTATATATTTGTTCAAAAATTCTGTCTTGATTTATGAAAATTAATTGTAAACAAACCAAATGCAATAATAGAACAAAATTAGATCCCTCCTTATACCCTGAAATAATGTAATTTGCAGTCTGTTTGTTCCTGGGTTCTTAGCTCTATAGCTGATATAGTTGACGGTTTCCGTACGTATTAGAGAGATGTGCTTAAAAGTTAAGCCATGATGACCCGAAGGAATTAAGCCGTTTGTAAATTATTGCTTATTAAGCATTTTCTGCCAATCCTTATTACTTTTTCAATGGTTTAATTATTATTGTTATTGTTGTTATTTTTTTGGGTATATATTATATACATTAACACTAATAAAGTGGTATTTTGTTAACCTTAATTTCAATAAGACATGACATTGAGTAGTACATGTTTTGATTGTACGTTCTACTAAGAACTTTTTTTTCCACTGGTCGAAATTAAACGTGAAGGGATTGAGTGCTCTAAAATAATTGAACACCGCCACATTTCAATGTGCCTGTTCCAAGAAAGGAACCTAGCTAGTGGTTATCCTTATAGTTACATCTAAATGTTCAGATATGATAGTCTCTTATTCACTATAATTTACAGACAGATTTAGAGATTGACTTAGTATTCTGTATTCATGGAGACCGTATATTAACCTGTAGATATTCTGTTTGTGTCGTTGGGTCTGTTCAATTGACGTACACCCCACAATTATCAGTAATGGGGTGTGAAAGTGAAAATTTTCACATAGGTCTACATACGACCTTCAACAATCCGTAAAGCAATTTATACAATGTACTGTGCAAACCAGATGCGAAAAATTCAAAAGAGACGTCAAACTGACTTATTCTTGAACAGCGGTGTAGCAGTAAAACAGAGTGTAAAAATCAAAAGAATTCAAGTTTAATTGGTAAAATACCGATCATATTTTTCAGATCCATTTAAAGTGACTACAGCCACAACGTTCTCGCTACCATATTATCATTCTCTATTCTCAACTACTCATGCTTTATTGTCACCGCCGCTTTCTGGCTCTACTGTCAGTACAGCATCCATGTGCTCGGAACCAGTGCAAACTGTACCATGTGACATGAGAATAAAGAAAGAACCAGCAGTGTATACGTGTTCTAAGAAGTCAGAAACTAATACAACACAAAGTAGCAAAAAGCATGCAAATGATTCAAATCTAGATAAAAATGTTCAAACTGTGACTGATCAAAACGTAGGCAAATGCAATGATAAAGACAATTTGAAAATGAAATTGACTTCGCCTGTAAGCTCGGTTACAAAGTCGTCTTCGTCCTCTTCCGCAACGCCTTTATGTTTAAAGAAGCATATTCTAGAAAAAAGTAAAGAATGGACTTCAAGTGAAAATACTGTTACAGAACCCAAATCTGAAAAGAAAAATGAAGGTAAAAGTGAGAACAGTAAGGTTTCTGATAATACTGCATGTGATACAAAGATAAACGAAGCAAGCAAATTGACTAGAAGCGAAGATGATAAAATATTAGCAGATTTTAAGCCACGGAATAAGGAGATTCAACAACTGACGACAACGTCGAAGGATACCGTCAGAGCAATTAGTAAAGTGTTATCAAAGCGACAGGAATCTTTTGAATCATTGAAATCAAATACAGATAATCCGAGAATGGTGTCTTCTCCAAGAAAACAAGAACAGAAGCTATCAACAAAGAGGGTATTGATAAAACCTAAATGTGACGACAAGAAATCGTCAGGTCAGTTTGTCTTTGATATACTAATTAGTAGGGAATATTGATTTATTTTAGAATTGTAAACTAATTGGAATAAGATTCTTTATTTTTTTAAATCAAGTTAATGGTTTTAACATGTTATATCATACAAACTATGCGCCTGAAAAAGCACAAATATGAATGAGATGCGTTCTCAAGTGAAATTACTTCAGAGTTTCTACCAAAACAAAATATGCTTTTAATTGTGTTTTTATGCTGCTGTCTAATTACCGTTTCCCCCAAACACCCCCTTTTACTGGTATAATTATAAAATAATATTTGGCCATGGTGAAATGGGTATATTTCAAAACATTTTTTTATAAACATTAGATACCACAAATTAAACAGCTGGATGTCTCTGTTTATTCTTCAACAACGAGACAATATGTTATATACACGAGAAGAGTGTAATTTTGCGACCGAAAGATCGAATCACCATCTCATCGTGTAACATTTAAACAATGCTCACGTTTTACGCAGGAATTACGAGTATTTTTGTCTTGTTTCCCCTTTCTATCCACTAGTTAAAATGAAAAAAATATCAAATAGTTCAAACAACGTATTTGAAAATGTAATTTGAAAATAATAAATTTACTGAAAATCAAAATATAAGAAATTACCAATATGTCTGGCTATCGTCGTTGATATTAGAGTCCTGTTTGAACCTATGGATGAAGCCTTTCATGAATATTCATCATGGCAATATTATACAGAATGCAATTAGATATCTATCAAATAGTAACTGCTCAATAACTTTCATTAACGTATCATAGTCACATCTTATTTGTACAGAATTTATTAATTCAAGTTTTGCAATTTTGATGCAAGTTGTGTGTGGGCCATTTACATAATCATGGCGTTAATTCATGATAAGGGTTGAAAAAGGAGGTTGTCTTATTTAAAATAGAAAAACTCAGTAAATGTCAACCCTTGAAAAACTTGAGTATTGATATTGAATAACGACCGTTTTAACAGTATATTGTTTTGTTCTGTTTGACTACAACCATCAATCGTTTTAAGAAATCAGTGGTTCAAATATTACGAAACGATCCTATCATCACTCATGCAGCATGTGCAGAGATCAAGATTATAGGAGGAACATATCGAGATGTTGAATAAAAGCACCAAACATTACAAAGACAATACACATTCATCACTAACAATTTTAAACAACCTAGATGTAATTGTAAGATATTCAAAATTAAGCGATATGCTGATAAAATGTCCTCACCGTAACTGTTCAAGACAGGAGAACATAATAAATAATAGAACTACATTAACAAGATAGATAAATGAGAATGTGAAGCTCCTTTTTTGAAAACGTTCATCTTCTTCAGAAAAAAGAATAAATCAAGAAATATTAAACCATGGTAACATGGTGGATTTCAATTCTAAAATGGTTTCAAGCATCTATATACCTTTATTTGATTGAAAGATGTCTATATGGTTTAAATATTATTTTCCTTGTTATTTCAATTATATGGTTAAAAAAATCAAAATCATGATTTGTCATATATAGATTAAGTACCTGTAAAATGTTTCCAATCAGACATTTCATTTCTACCATTAATGGCAGATGGCATGAATTCTTGTTCATTGATGAGATATATAGTTTTATAATCGTAATACATTATTGATTCTTCCTAGCCAGCTGAAATCCATATCTGGATAAAGGCAAAGTTCACGTTAGTTGGTTTGATCAAGCGTAGAACTATTCGTTTAGCATTGAAATGGACATGCTATAAATAGCTTATTTATGGAATTAACAAACCATTGAATATTAATATTAGAATTGTTCAAATGCCATGCCAGTCCATGTTCGATCAATAGTGTACAGAGAGCACCATTTGATGAAACGTTTTAGCTTTGTAAAATGACTATGAATGACAAGAGTCTGTATTCTTTTCTAACAGGAGTTAGTAATATACCTATTGGAATAGCAGTTGCACGAAAGAGAGAAGAGTTAAAGAAAGATGATACAGGTTTGTTATGTTTTTCAAGTGTGATTCCTTTTGTTCTCTGTTATGGTCATCGTTAACAAAAATCAATAATTCCAAATTAATGTGGACATTTCGCTTTCTAAATAATATTGTATACTGAGTTTTGGAATTTTTATACATTACAAAAACGGTATAACTCTTAAAAAGCACAGTATTTGAGCAACACTTTTCTGAACTTAAGTGTAAGATATTTCAGCTTTATACATGTAAATATACAATCTAATAATTTACTTCAGTCACTTCGAGATGAATATCCCATCCAAAGTGCAAATATTATCATTAATGTCTGGAAACAAATGTAAAAAGTAAAATTGAAATTTGATTTTGTTAAAATATCCAGACAACTTCACAGGTTATGTTACATTCGCAAAACATTGTAAAAACTTTTGATGTTAAGAAATACATTCCAATAATTTGATTAGTTTAGTTTCACAATGTAAAAAAATACTTTAATCTTTTATATCTAAGGTTATATAGTCAATGTATTAACAATGCTTTAGAAAATCTATATAAATACAACAAGTTTACTTTCAAGTCTCATTTATATGCTTAATTTTAAGATCAAGTTAAATACAAACGACATAAAGCGAATATATTATTAGCATTTGGTTAAGGAAAATGGTGCATAGCTGGTATATTGATGTAAATTACACTCATCATACTTCTTCTTGCGTTATTTATGTAGAATTATTTTTGCTTTATGCTTATGCATATGGTTTTGATTTTTTATGATATATCGTTTGCATACGATTTGGTGGAGAGAAAACATCTTCCTGGCACAAGCGCGAACACTTAAAAACTGATGAGTGTATTTTTAACAAACTGAATAAAATAGAATTATTATTCAGCATGCTCAAACTTCTTGAATATAAGTCGAAGACTTTCGACATAAGTGAATACATTGTTAGCCGATCGAACTTTCACATTTTGATCTATACCTTAAGAATTGTACATATTTGCTATGTACTCATAAACAGATATGCAAATTCATACCAATACAAGTAAAAATCAACTAAAATACATAAGGTGCAGCATACTCCAGCTACGGTTTAAACAATATTATCAGTAACACGAAAACGGATTCTCTAGCTGTTGTGGTTTTCTTTTTTTTTCTATACAAATATTTGTTTTTGGGAAAACGAAAAGTATGATTTTTAATCATTGAGCCGATTTAAAAAAAAAAGGCAGAAGTATGTATTTTGAAATATTCTGACTATTTGCTTGCGATTTCATGATTTATATTTCACGGAAGTTGAAACTAGTATTTAGACGAATGTCTTTGATTTCTTGGTATTGCTTCATATCTGATTACGCTTACTTTAAAAATTCTGCTTTTTTGGGGGGTAAAAAACGTGTTGTGTTAAATCTTTATCTTTCATCTTGTGTTTGCTTACTTTTAAATTCCATTTGATTTTTACCCATTGTCTAATACAATATCTAATATATTTCAGATGATAGCGGTGACGGTGGCGAATCGTTAAACGGATCTTCCCACAATAGCACTAGTCAAAGCAGAATTAATGAGTAAGAAACATCTTTTGTTTATATGAAGTCATGTAATAAATATTAATCTAAAAAAAAACTAAGATGAATTTGATTTGAAAAATATTTAAATTTAAATGAATCTTTTTCAGAAGCAGAAAGGTCATTTTAAAAATGAAAAATTGCAATACTTGTTTTAATATTTCATGTTTGATGGGTTTTTGTTTCCATTGGATGATTGGAATATAAATGAAATGAATTTTCTCATCTCCCAAATTATATGCATTTGAAATAATATTTGACAGTAGAAAACAGCATTGGTATCAAGTTCTTATTTACCAAATTGTCTATATACTAGTATATTAGCATTTCGTATTGTTCTAACTTATATTATTCAACATATTCGGATATAAACAAATGAATATTATAAAAATAAGAAGATGTGGCATGATTGCCAATGAGACAACAACTATCCGCCAGTGACCAAGGGATGAATGTCCATTATTAGTATGCACATAAAAAATTGAAAAAATGTTATGAAACAAATGTGTTACACAACTGTCAGAGTAGACAATTGGAGGCCATGATGTCAAAAAACTACATTCCGTCTCATCTATCATTCTATACCTGTTTATAAAATTGAAAGTAATCGGAATTTAATGACACGCATTTTATTTTCTTACTGTCAGCATTCAAATGTCAGTTATTTCATCCGTATATCTGCCAGAGGTGGTAAAGTGTTGCAAGATTTACAGTACCTGGTTTTCTATTGTGTGAAAATGTGAAAATATATGAAACTTTCAAAGTAAACACTTTACTATTTTCAAATTCAAATCAGAAACATGAAGTAACTTTATGGTTTGACCTGTAGTCATGTAATAGTTAAGTGAAATAGACTAGCAAAGAGACATTAACATTTTCCAATCAGTCTTTTCCTTTCCTTTCGTTTGTCAATGTTTAATATTGGAAAATCATTTGCAACTACTTGCAAAATTGAAAGATCAAAGTGAACTGTCTGTAGTATGAAAATTCTGAAGAAAATAAAATTATAAGTGCTAGTTTTTGTAGAATTAAAGTTAAATTCTTAACAACAATTTTTCAATTGGCGATTATTTTGGGGGAGATTATAGTCTTCACGAATGAGATTGGGTTTGGAATATACAAACCGAGGAAAATTTTTGTTTTGGAAATAAGTTTTTGGAAAAATAAACACATTGAATGTGGTACCATAATCTGATCAGGAATAACTTAACTGGAAAATTTCGATTTAAGTCAATAAATTAGATACAGTTGGAACTTAAGTAGTTGAAATATAAGTCTATGCTTTTACATTTTGTTAATAAGTTGTCCAAATGAAACAAGAAAATCACATAATTTAAAGAAATCTTAAGAAAACAAAGGGATTTTTTTTTGCGCCAACAAAATTAGTTTTTTAATTGTTTTACTCTAGAAAAATTTCATGTTTGCATTGATTACGACCTAAAGCATATTGATGCAAGTAATTTGTTTACCAAAACCCCAAGTAATCCAGTCTAAAATGTGGAAACTAGTATAATTTAACCTATTTGTGAAAAAGAAGTCGTTGAAATGTGACTTCATGCATTTCAAGTGAACAGCTATGTCAGTGCTTTCAAAAATTTATATCTCATTGCTGTCCCCACGGTGAATGAGTAATGCTTTCAAAGTTTTCATTTTAAAGACGTCATTAGCAGTATTAAGTTATTTCAGATAAATCATACCCTGTTTCAATTCATACCTATGATTTGATTGAACATAAACTCCCCTGGGTGTTAATTGAGCAAAATGTTCTATCTGTTTTAGAGGTATATACGTCGTGTCACTTCAGTTGTCCAAAATTGTTACCTAGAATTAATATTTGGTACGCAATATGATGTTTTTATGTGATAAAATACTACCTCTTATGAAACCGAATATGACACTGTTGTATTTCTTAAAAATATGGTTTTCCAAATATAATATAAATTCTAGATAGATATTAGGATATGACCCGTTCTCAAATGTAGAAATGTCTAATATAGTGCAATGTTACAAAACAACCAGTATTTTTTAAGTAAATATATATATGTCCTAAATGAACTATGAACTGGTTTTTTTATCCATCTGAAACATATCACAATGCAATTTTAAAAGTTTAACGATTTAACACGAAAAAACGAAAAAGAGAAGATACTGGCCAGAGAAATGCCTTTATTACATAGAAATAATCTAGAGAAATTAGTTTTTTCTATTGTTTTTAATTATTTATGTGGGAACCACGACTTTTTGTTGTTGTAATTATCTCTTGAAAAGATTAATGACAACAAATCCTGTCGACTGGTTTTATGTTACATTCATGCTTATGTTTACAGTCAGTCAAGTTCTGCCACAAAATCAATACCAAATGTCAACGTTGTGGATATGAGGAGCCAATTGCCAGCCAATCTTATAGTGACTGGTAAGTTACAAGAGAGATAACCTCTAAATCACATGTTTATTGCAACGTTAAGTATATGAGACTCTTATACTTACAATCATACGATGGTAACAAGTAATGAAAGTGTTCATTTCGTTCATTATTTTGTACATAAATCGGGCCGTTAGTTTTTCGGTTGAATTGTTTACATTTGTCATTTCGGGGCATTTTATAGCCGACTATGCGGTACTAGTTTTGCTCATTGTTAAAGGCCGTACGATGACCTATAGTTGTCAACTTCTATGTCATTTGGTCTCTGGTGGAGAGTTGTCTCATTGGCAATTATACCACATCTTCTTATTTTTATATGACATACAAGTACTTTCACTCGGACGATATTTTTGTGAAAAAAGGCCCTGATCTCTATTTCAACAAGTTCAAAACTATAACTGTTGGATTTAATATTCAAAGAATTGTTTCGAATGGAAAAGCTAAGTGTGTTACATCAACGGGGAAATTATATTTAGTACGCTCCTTTAGTCGGCAAAGCCTACTATTTTGCTACTTATGCAGTCAGTTTTTTATTGGAAAATTTTGAGTTTAAAGTAATTAACCACTGTTTACAGGATCTGCAACTGGAGCAGGCATTGCATGGTCTGATGATCCAACAAGACATTTTCCAACACAATGGATGCAAACCCCACAGTTAAACCAGTCATGGATTGGACAGATCCCATTCTCGATGCCACCTTCTGTTCCAACTTCTAGCACGACAGACCAGACACTACCCATAACAATACCTCCTGGATTCAAAATTGCGCAGGATTCTGTTACAGGACAGTTGGTCATGATTCCCTCCAATGATATTGGTAATGATTTATATTACAAATAAATAAACATTAACACTGAGAAGAGATCTTAAACATAATATTTTGTACATATTATGGAAGAACAAAGTAGAGATCGTCATGTCATCTGTCATTGACAAGATGCTTTAACATTCTATATTGTAAATCTTTTAGATTTGAATATGTAATCTATTTAAATCTCGACAAGACGAAATTGTACAATCAAATGCTCAAGTTGGCTCTGAAGTTGTTTCAGAAATCACAAACATTGATTGATCTTGACATTTCAGTTTCATACACATTTCCGTGATCTGTGGTAAAAATTGATGTTTCCTTTTCATTCATCATGATTACTTTTGACCACTGTAGAAACAAGCATAAAAAAATAACAGTTATCAAAATACTCATCAGTTTTTCTGAGGTCTAGATTCAATATAAATAAAAATGTTGGAATTTTCAGAAATTTACGACCCGAGCCGAATCTGGAGTTCATATGCTGCAACTTCTCAACCAATTATGCCTTCCCATCAACTGTCACAGATTCTTCCTCATAACCAAGAAAGACCATTTGTAGTACAACAGTATCAACAGTTGGTGAGTAATAGAAATTATTTCCCCAATATATTGTTAATATAAGTTTATAGACTATTTCATAATATATTGATTTGATGAGGAAACTCTGGTATTTAAAACTACACACGATTTTGTGATTGTACTTCAATGAATTGAAGATAATTCGCATTACATAATTCGGTTGATGTTATTTAAAAGATCATTAACACATTTTTAATGCTCTTCAAAACGAAAAAAAAATGTACAACTTTTTTCAATAATGTAATTTTCATATGAATAAAATGATGTAAAAGAGCTAAATTTTAATAAAAAAGGAATTAATAACAATAGTAGACATTTCATATCAAAAGTTTGAATTGTATACCATATGAATTGCAAATAAATAGTGTGTTCTATTGGACACCTAACCGTGAAAGTTTGATGAAAAAAAAACAGAATAAATATCCCCATGATTACATATGTTGCAATTAAATATTGAATTGCTTATGAACAGATCCAAAATAGACAAGATACTATTGTCACGTCAGAGAACACATATAACCAAAACATACAGGTATCATCAGGCAGCATAAAAAACAAAGTTACAACAACAACGACGAAACCAGCAAAGGGAATCGAGAAGAAAACAAAGTCTGTAGGAATGGTTACTCCACAAGTTACCTCAGGTAAGATATGATTGAATGGTAGTGACCTTTTGGTTTGTTTTCATGCCAGACCAAAAAAAATATTTTATATAGGTAGCATTTTGTCTTAATAATAAAAATATGTATATCGATATGCTATTTTCATGCAAATGAACTTTTTATTTTCCAAAACCAAATAGAAACTAAAATATAACTAAAAACATGTGGACAACTCATTAAGGGTTAAGCATTTTAGGTAAGAGTACATGATGTGTGGATCAAAAAGGCGACGATTAAAATCAAGTAGTTAAAATCTAATTATGAAAACCGTTATAATGATAGTTTATTTTTACTTTTATTTATTTTTGAAATATTAAAGCATTGACTTTTCGGCCGATGCATGTTTATGATGCAGACAAGAAATCTAGAACTCTGAGTTTCTCAACAACTATTTATTTCAGATGTTGGAACATCCTCACAGACATTACCATATTCTTATCCGGGACCAGTGCCTTTAATTGTAAATTCTAGCATAGTATCTCACGCTAATCTATCTTGCACAGAAGCTATTAAATCCGAGCTTTCAACAGTACAGTCACGAGGTACTTCTCCAATGGTACCCGCGAGCGAGATTGAAGACACTGAACAAGAAATGATTGATAACTCTCCCGTCCAACTTAAAACAGACAATGAAGTTCATATAGACAAAAAAGACATAATTAATGATGACGACGAGTCTTCGTTTTCATCGACAGATTCCTTTGTACATATGCATGTAACAAATTTAAAAAATGAAAATGAGAAAGATAATACTGTTTATACCAGCAAGGATTCGGTTGAGTTAGAAATTACAACAAAAGACAAAACTGTTCTTCCAAATGATGAAGTTTCTTTTAAAGCACAAATTAAAACACTAACTACTGATTCTGAAAATCAAATATTATTGCATAATATACAGAAAAAGGAAAGTGATAGAACAATAGAGTCTTTACCCGCAAATGAATTGCAAAATCCTGATTTAGTCAAACCTGACGAGAAAGTGTCATCTAATCAGTGTTGTGATCAAATTAAAGACAAGAAATCAGTAGAGTCTGTGAAAGAGGACAAATCGTCTGAAGACTATAATCCATTTCTTGATCCACAAATCCTACAAGCTGTCGATGGTCTCGAACTTTTAAGTGCGCTTGCTGAAAAGCGTTCTAAATCAATAGATACCAGAAAGGACATAAAAGAAGAGGACGAAAAGGATGAGGTTAACAATAAAATGTCGGATGAGGTTGAAAATAAAATGTCGGATGAGGTTAAAGATAAAATGTCGGATAAAATGTCGGAGGATAAAATAGAACAAGACACATCTGAAGAGAAAGAAGAAAAAGTTAAACCTATTAAAAGACCAAAAATTAAAAGAACTATCAGTCGAACACGATCAATACCTCCAATAAAAGAGTCTGAGCCTCCGAGTTACTATACCTCTACGGGGCTACGCATACCACAAGGTAATTGTGTTTCGTTATATGAAATGATCCCATTGTCTATTCAGTTAGGAATTGACTTCATAATTTGTGAATGACGTTTAAAGAATAAATTCATAAATTAGAATTAATCGAATCTCTGAAGTGAATTTTTACAGAAAATGAACATGTGTTGAAGGCCGTACTGTTGCCTTTATTTGACCTATAATTGTTTACTTTTTACACATTGTGACTTGGATGGAGAGTTGTCTTATTGGCACTCATACCACATCTTCTTATTTATATATATTTATGATAATGCACAGGATGAACTGAATAATTAATGTGTTATTCAAAACTTTGGGCATGAATAAAACTTACAAAACTTCCATTTATCAAAGGTTATCGATACTAACATACCATAGTAACGTTTACCCATATCACACAAAACAGTTGAACTGGATCTTCGCAGATGCAAAAGAAAATGTATAACATTTCTAGAGTAGTAACAATTTTCAAAAAGACATATTTTAGCTTGTCATGGATTTTTTAAAAAGATTAAAAGATGACCAAATTGCCTTATTCTAGCAACTTTAATATTATTTGTAGATTTATGAATACTTGGTTTTTTAATCAACATTTCGCAAATGTAGCTAAAAACTAACACATTTTATTAACATTTACATATATTGGGTTTTTAATAAACCATTTAACTCAGAAAAACAGACCTCCCTTCTTTTCTTGACATAGGAGAGGAGGAAATCAATGCCATCGAACTGGACATGAGAATACGTTTAGCTGAACTTCAAAGAATGTACAAAGAAAAACAGAAACAGTTGTCCAAATTGCAACCGAAAAAAGAAAAAGAAAAAGAATCCCCACAAAAAGAGCACAAAGAAAAAGAGTGTGGGTGAGTTGACACAGTTTGCCTTACAAAGACTCTCGACAAAATAATTTCTCATATATATAATGATAGAACCAATATGTAGACTTGGACTAGTAAACCATATCTTAAACCATAAAAAACGAAGAACAAGAATTTTATTAAGGGAAAATTTAAGTGAAATTAGTTAAATATTTTAATATTGTATGACACTAGAAACTTGACACTTTCATGGAACATAATTGGCTGTGTTGACCCTATTTCATAAAGTATTTGAGTATATAAAAGCAATTGCGCAACATTTCCTTCAAAATGTCTATATATCTGTACGAGATTGAGAAATATGAAATTAAAATTCTTTAGAAAAAGCGAATGGTAAGATCCCTTAATGTCACCTACATCTATTCAGGAATTGATTCCCAGATTGTCTGATTTGAACCAACCGATATATTTACTGAGACGCACTTCAAAGAATCAACGATACCAACGATACCATACATAGAATTCGACAAAAGACGCTGAGTTCTAGAATTTGACAAGTTTTGATCATAAATAACATAATTAGGGCATTTATATTTTCGCTGGTGAATGACTTGCAATGTTTTTAGCTGCCAATCGGAGGTTGTGAACCGTTATAAATCTCTAGTTTATTGATGGAAAATATATATTGTTCTCTCCCTAAAGACATCCTTCGAAGTTACAAGCTCTTTTTCAAAAATAGTCAATCTCGCCTTGGCACTGAACCAAAACTATGTTTTTTCTTCGGAAAATGCTTGTACCAAGTAATATGACAGTGGTTTTCCATTCGTTCCGTTAGTTGATATAGTCTAACGTTGATTTTGTCAGGTTTTATGGACTTCAAACTGTATGAATTTACCTTGGAGTTCGGTATTTTTGTTAATACTTGTTTGGTAAATTTTGTTACTGTCCAATCTAGTTTTGTTAAATTGCACCAGTACAGCATCTTTTATTTAAATATATTTTATGCATTTAGCTCTCGGAAACCGGAAATGAGTGCAATCAAACTGGTTTTTTTTATGTCGGCTATTTTCTCGGTTTTGGTTTCGTTTCGGGTATCCTCTGAACAATGGGCTGATTAGCGCTTGATTTATGTCATAAGGTTGAGCTTCAGTGCTAGTGGTATGCGTTAAATTCGATTTTTTCGCTGTTATCTCTTGGACATGCCTTCACTTACTCAGATATATGACAAACGACGTTTAGTTCGACGTTTGAATAACCATTTTTACCTACTATGTCTGTTTGTTTTGTTCACACATTGTTGTCAATATCATGGAATTTTATGCGACTGTCATACAAGTGAGAGGTTTAGCTAGCTATAATCCACCATTTTCTACATAAGGAAATGCCTGTACCAAGTCAGGAATATGACAGTTGTTTTCCATTCGTTTGATGTGTTTGAGCTTCTGATTTTGCCATTTGATAAGGGACTTTCTGATTTGAATTTTCCTTGGAGTTCGGTATTTTTGTTATTTTACGTTTTTCATGTGGTTCATTGATTACACATTCTTTAATTTTGTAAATTGTTATTTTGTTCCTTATTGCTGTAATAGTTGAAAGGATTGATAAATGTAAAAACGATTATGTAATTATGTATTTATTTTAAAAACTTTGTGCATTACCTTTTCAGAGAAGCTAAGAGAGGACCAGGTCGGCCAAAGAAAAAGCAGGTTTCTTCACCAGGATCAGACACCAGGTAAATATTCTGATTAAAAGACTTACTAGTAGTTTTGTACAAATAGCATTATAATGCCTTATAAAAATTAGAAAAATAAAAACAAAACACACTGTTAAATCATTTTTCGAACTTTTGTGTTGGTTTTTGAATGTTGTTCTTTGTACTTTTTAAATTTTTTTCATGTCAATGTTGTTTCTAAAACAACCATCTTGCCTATCCTTTGTCCTGAAAAAAACATGTTTCAAGTTCAAAGTTCACATTCGGTCAAGATTACCAAACCTCTTCACGAATGCCTTATCGCCTGATATATCTTATCAATGATTTTAGTGGTGTTACATGTAAAGCAGGATCTGCTTACTATTCGTTAAAAACAAATTAAACCATAGGTATAACATGATCTCATTAAAGTTTAAATATACTATATATATTTTATTGTTAGTGAGAAAAAACCGTCACCAAAAACAAAAGATGGATCTGTTAAAAAGAAGAAACCAGCAGAAGAATTGGTGGATAGAGTTTTCAGAAAAACTGGTGGTGGATTTGGTGTAAGTTTTTACGTAACATTCAATGGGGAGTAATTCAATTTGAAAAGGGAGTATATGTCATCAGATAACATTTCATCGGCCAAAAAAATCAAATTACATGCAAAAGTCGTCCACAATAGGCAAGTGTCAATACAGTATCTAAAAATAAATTTAGATAAATACTATTTGATTGACAAATAGATATGACTGTGTAAAATCAGATCAAATTAATAAACTGTTGATTGATATTTATCTGGTACCTGTTGTGTGATTTTTCTTATGATAAATGCATACACTAATTTTTATACATATTTGCGTGCAGTGCTTTATTTTAAAACAAATTCATTTACAAATAATTATGTCTAAACAATATTTCAATCAATCGAACATCTAGTTCTTTCTTTTAGAATTTGATATATTTTTTTAAATATATTCAATTCAATTAGTCAAAAAGAAAAACAGCAAAATTAAGTTTCCTTCAAATAAGTTTCTTTTCTTAGTCATTCTATAAGTAGGTGAGACAAGGTCGTTATACAAGAAACTGCATCAGTTATATGTGTCAGACTTCAAAACTTTGAATTAATCCAAAATATATGTGAAAATAGATTATAACATAAATTTTGTAAAATCGAAAACGAAGGGAACATGCGAAAAGCATGGTATCTCTTTTCTTGTTGCCTATCACTTACATTTACGATTGAGGTTGGTAACACTTATGTAGCAGATATTTATATGTATTTTACAAAGAATTGGAAAGATTAATGTTATATTTTCACACTATTTCAGATGCCATTAAGTAAAAAGTTAAAGGCAAACGCAATGGCAGCTCTTTTCAAAACACAATCAGGATTCACGGTAAAGAGAAAAGGAAGTACTTCAAGTCTTATGTCAGCAGGTAAATAGTGTTCACCTATTTTAGTATACCTTTCCTATATAGTTGTTTTGATATGTAACACTGTAAAGCAACTTGTATTTTGCAAGCGAATTGTTTTAGCGAGTATAAATACGCGTGTATAAATTGGTTAACAATATTCCTTTTTCCACTTGTTTCTTTAACTTTGAAAATCCGATGTCTGAAACGGTTATTATAGAAGAGGACGAGGATAGACTCAAAAGATACATGTTTTCATAGTCTTGGATATTTAGATACCAGAAAAGTCTCGTGACCTTTTTATTTACCGAGCATTTTCTATTTCACTTTTTGACTGATTTTGGATTCGCATGCGGGATTTCACAGGCACTTGTCTCTAAAATCGCTACCTCTATTCCTATTATATAAAGGTTTAGAGGTAAAAAAAATAATCAAAAACAAGTTCTTATGAAATGTATGCATATCAGGAGAAATAGATTTACGAGATTTGAACAATTGTAATTTACCTTTTATATTAATGGATGATGCTATAAGTTTATTTTCGGCCTTTGTAGTCTCTATTTGCTGCCAACTCAAAAAGGGATACTTTCTAATTCGTGTATTATTGTCATTTAGGTGCATGCATAATAAAAATTCTAGTCAGCACTGAAAGAATTGGACATACTATTTATTAGTTTCCCTGATATTTCCGCGATATTTATATATAATTTCCTGAATCTCGCAACATACCTATCATTGCATATCAAAACACACTGGTTCCCGGAAGTTTGGTAGTACAAAAACAGATACTTCTGATCTGACTAACTGGGCAAATATGTCCTCCTATGATAATTTCATATATTAGTTTTTTGTTAATAAGAAACTTTCAACAAGGGTTCTACAGTGATCCATGCCCTTAAGTTTTCGTTTGATATCAAAATTACCCAGATATTCTACGTATTGACAAAGTTACAGCTATGCGTAGGAACCATTTTGTTTAAAATGTGTACTACTTTCCTAAATGTTCTTTCCAACCGGGCCCGAATTAATGATTCTTTACCCTTAACACATCAGTGCATGTCGTAATTACTATACACGATATGAATTCAGTTCATAGCATTTCATTACAAAGTTATTTTAGAAGCCTTTTCTTGACATTATTATTATAATTTATGCTTGTTGTTATGTATTATTTGGATTAAAATGTTTACATATGTATACCATCGAAGAGACACGGGCATTTGTATTTCATGGGAAAATATACAAATTTGAATCATATTATGAATCTTTGCAACAAAAATCAGAGAATACAATGAATATTACTTGTACATTAGATAGTATTCGTATTTTAACATTGCCATATAAGCGGGAGGTTTGGCTAGCCATTAAACGAGGTTCAACCCACCATTTGTTCTTAAAATGTCCTGTACCAAGTCAGGAATATGGCAGTTGTTATCAAATAGTCCGTTTCTATGTATGTTGGCGTTTGTTTTTGTAGCAGTTCAGTGTTTCTGTTGTTCCGTTGTCTTCCTCTTATAGTTGATGTGTTTCCCTCGGTTTTGGTTTGTGACCCGGATTTGTTTCAGTTAAATCGATTTATGACTATTGAACAGCGGTATACTACTGTTGCCTTTATCTATAATGATGAATTTTACGTGTAAATGTATTGACAGATGTTACACAAAAAAAACTATTTAAAAAATATATTTATATAACAAATGATAGTTAAAAGTAGTGACAAATATTGAATTATGAACATAAAAATGCATTTTTTTTCATATGAATATACTTTTAAAATAGAGATTTGCTGAATTATGTGAATTAAATGAGGAAATTTCAGAATATTTGAATAAAACGGCCAGTTTTATCTTATCAATATGTTACTATAATCTTATTTATCTTTAGAGTGAATACATTCCTCATATTGGTTTAACAAATTCCTTGCATTATTCTTTTAGGAAAAAGCTTTTCTTCAGAAAAAAATTTAAAGAGCAAGAAGCATCTACATAAAGGATCTTCAGATGGCAAAGGTAATTAATCTTAACTTCAATCCTTAGCGACAAATATACGTTGCACTTTAATATCTTGATAAAATCTCATTTATATAATCTCCTATTCCCTGATATCAATTTAAATCAACCTTTGTTTTATATTTGCAGTCTCCATTTTAAACCCCAGACAAAAGACTGAAACAGAGGATAGGAAACGCATTTATAAAACGAAGAAAATAAAAGAAGGTAATGATAAACATCTCCTTATTTTTATAAGATTATCATATCACATCTCTTTTTTATAAAGATTGTTATTCCACGCCTTCCTGTTTTTAAAGACTTCATTCTTAAACCTTTTTACTCTTTCTTAGATTAATTAGAGAGATCTTAACAACAATAAATGAAGATGAACTTTATAATATTTTATGATAAATTAAATGATCTAATAATCGTCCATACTAGAATCACTAATTCTGGCGTCACTTGTGTCAATTGCCTGGTTGATTTTTATAATATCTAAAATCACCATTTGACAGAAAATAAAGATGGTATGTTGAAAAAATGGAAGAAAGAAGATTCTCTAAAGGAAAAGAATCGGGATGTTGAAATAGAAAAGAATCGAGAGGCTCAAAAAGAAAAGAATCGTGATGTTCAGAAAGATAAGAATCGAGATGGTCAAAAAGAAAAAAATCGAGATGTTCATAAAGAAAAGAATCGAGACGTCCATAAGGAAAGCAATCGGGAGGTTCATAAAGAAAGGAATAAAGAAAAAGGTAAATTATGCAAAGAAAATCGCACAATCCTCCTGAGAAATTATTAACGAATACTCCTAAAATACCATGTTATTACTGTTCTTGTAGTTTTCGATAAAAGGAAACATATTCAGAAATATTATATTCATATTTGCAGCGCACGTTTGGATCAGGTCAAATAATATTTAATCAAGCGATAATGTCATGTCGTTTTATTACGTGACATCATCGATATAAATAGTCAGACTGAAGACGTTTTTTTGCCATGGCGTTGTCCGTTTGTCTTCGACTTATGAGTTTTATATTCCTTTCTTTGGTATCTTCCGCCTCTTCTTCAGTAATGAAAACAGAACCAGTTTCATTTTTTTTCTGTAACAATATATGTATTGCTTACGGAGTTTTAGAAATGCTTCTTCCGATAATAAGTCCCTTTCATGCAGACTTATTTTGAAGACTTTTTTTCTTTCTTATAGCTTTCTCTATACAAGTAAACAATAAAAAAATGTAGCAAGAGAATTTTCGGAAGTCGGTAAAATAAAAGTACAATATTACATTCATAATTATATCTGGAAGACTCGGATGTTTTCGTGAAATTTTCCTCTGTTGCCGGAATACTGTTTTTAATAGTCTAATCAATATTTCGGTTGTCTGACTACAGAACATATTTTAACAGAAGTTATAACTTTGTAAACTAAAGATAGGGTTTGATTTTGTTGTAGATAAGGAGTCTCTCCAATCTGGACTTGGACTTTTAGCAAAATATGCTTCAAATGCTTTGAAGCAACATATGTCATCAAAAAAGATCAAACGAAAACGACAAGGTTCGTGTTCAGAAGAGACAACAGATACTGTAGTCACCGCACCAAATAGTGATGGAGAGTCGGCTATTACTAATGAGACTAACGAAAATATCGCTTCCACTAGTATAGCAACTACCCCTCAAATAGAAGGTAGTTACTAACAAGCTGCATTATATTTTATCCATGCACAGAGTATTATCTCTAAATTAATTGAATTTTGCTTTAGAAAAAAAAGAACCAAATTATTTTGTAGTGATCATTCCACAAGTCAATAGCATGTATAAAAGAAAGTTATTCACAATAACTTAATTGCATGAGTTATTATATTTAATTACTATTAACGTTAAAATCATAATGTTACAAAATATAGATATCATGTAGACACTGTAACCATCCATATAAAATTGTTTGCATGATGAGTTTAGAGATTTGTTCTCTTATAATATCATTGACCCCCTGGTGTCTGTCTAGTACATTAAAAGCTAGTTATTGTTTGAAATTTAAAAAAAAAATCTTATCACCATTTTGAAAATTTTTGGCACACCACTTTTATGACATCATTTTACTAATGTTTTTAAAATAACGTAAATACATAATTCTTTGCGATAGATGTTTCTGTTCTACAAATATAACCATATTTTTTATTATATGTTTTCTTTTTCGTTTGATAAATATCATTCTTGCTAAAAAATATTTTTGATATATTATATGATATTGAGATTTGATGGTGGAAACAGTTCTTTTTTAAATTAATACATACAATAACGATGTAGACTTGATACCGCTTGAACATTCAATATTTTTATTCTAACAACACGATGTTAAAAATCTTTGGATAGTTTTAATACAATGACAATAAAGTACAGAGATGCATTGGGTTTTTTTAAACTACAGAAACATTTATTTTACATAGAGATCTAGATTTGTAGTCGATAATGATTTAATTGAAATTCTACTAGACAGACATCTGCTATAGAACAGGTTCATGTCTTGAATTTGTCAGTAAATGGACATCATCAATTATAGGCTTTATTATGTTAACTAAGAGATTATGTATGATACTCCGATTTCAGTAATGACAAAAACAATTTTGAAAGTGGATATTATATATATAGTTCATTTATTACAAAATATAAAACGAAATAGGTGAGCTTGATTCGGTCGTACTATGCAGTAAAACACGTAGTTTTATAATAATCATATTAATCATAAAAACCTGGCTTGATCTAGATTGTGATCAATACCTTTTTAAAGAGGGGGTATTAATAATAATGAATAAAAATAATTCTATTGACAAAAATTGTAAGCATTCTAAGGAATTTCGTGTTGAGGTTGTTAACAAAAACAACTTCAAAACTTTACCATTTTTATACAGACACAGAAAGGAAAGATGTTAAATCGGAACCAGGCAGCACTGAGATCAAAAAGAGAAAACCGGGTCGACCACGCAAGGGAACACCTACAAGAACAACAGGTGTCACAGGTAAAAACATAAGGCAACAGCAGTTTATCGATGTTCAAATCTCAATAATTAATCAAGAAGATACAAATCAAGAAAACAAACACTAAGGGAATCACATTAACTCCAGAAGAAACGAAACCGTATTCATCGACGCGATAAGCGTCACCTGCTGGGCAGGAATCGCCCGCAATGCGAATCCACACTCAGTGAATATGTCACAATCGGTAATAGGACATACTCGTTAAAATTACATTTGACCACTATTCTGTTATCTGAAGATCAAAGACCGCGAAAACATGTCGCTGTTGAGTTGAGACACAGACATATCGTATCGGTCAACCAATTTAGTATGGTGACTGTAAAACTTCTGTAGTGTCGTTCTTCCTTATAACTCTGATAGAGCAAGTTTCGTTTGGAAGCACAGTGATGGAGATATGCTTTTTCAAATGAAACTAACAGAAATATTGCTTCCACTAGTATAGCACTTTTCCCTTACATAGAAGGTACTAATAAGCGGCATTATGTTTTATTATACTTCATGTCAAAATGCCAGATTTTGACTAGTTAATACGAGGGAGATAATTTACTCTATCCCATGGCAAACACTCTATTACCATTCACGGAGACGCTTGATCAAGTGTGCGATTTATTAAATACGGACGACGGACGGATATACAAGACGTCATAGTTTATTACTTTGAATTTGAAGTTTATAAGACAGTAATAACAGAACATTCAGTATGATAAATTAAATAACACATATCTGAAAGGGTGATAGAGCAGATTATTACCCCTCGAAAAGACATTGTCAACCTTGGCTTCGCATCAGTTGACAATGTTTTTTTCGGGGTAACAATCTGCTCTATCACCCCTTCAGCTGTGTATAAAACTATTATTTAAATTGTATCCATAAACGGAGTAAACTCCAAATATTGATTTTAATTTTCTTTTTAAACAACCATTTGTTTTGAAGTGATCATTTCACAAAACAAAGATTCAGATATCTTACCGTATTTTTACACGCCCGTTTACGGGACGTATTATGGTACACCGTTGTCCGTCCGTCGTCAATATGTCGGACAATAACTCAAAAACGCTTTAACCAATTTGCATGAAACTTTGGTGAATTGTTTATATCTATTGACGTGAACTCCCTTTCGATGATTTTTATAAATTTAGGATTTTACGTTTCCGAGTTATGGGGTTTTATTCATTAAAAAGGGTGATTTTCCAGTTTTCGGACAATAACTCAAAAATGCTTTGAACAGTTTTCATGAAACTTTGGTGAATTTTCTATGTCTATTGATGTGTGCTCCCTTTCGATTTTTATAAATTTTAGATTTTACGTTTCCGAGTTGTTGGGTTTTATTCATTAAAAAAGGGGGATTTTCCAGTTTTCGGATAATTACTCAAAAATGCTTTGAGCAGTTTTGATGAAACTTTGGTGACTGGTTTATATCTATTGAAAAAGCGACGGGCGTATCATGCGCTCATGGCGCAGCTGTTTGTTAATAAATTTTATGCAAGATACCAGGATTGAATTTGTGAACGCCAGACGCGCGTTTCGTCTACAAAAGAATCATCAGTGACGCTCGAATCAGTAAAAGGTAAAAGGGTCAAATAAGTAGGAAGTTGAAGAGCATTGAGGACACAAAAGTCCAAAAGGTTTTGCCAAATACAGCTAAGGTATTATATTCCTAAGGTAGAAAATCCTTAGTATTTCAAAAAATCTAAAGTTTTGTAAACAGTTAATTTATAATTATGACCATATCAATGATAATTCACGTCAACAAAGAAGTGCTGACAACTGGGCTGGTGATACCCTCTGGGAGGAAAGTTAATGGCATATGCACCAAGAGTTAATAAGAACCATGATAAAATTGCATCAATATCCGAAAAAATGTTAAAACAAAATAATAGGAGAAATTTTTTGATAACGTTTGATTTTGTCAGTTTTTATGGATTTCCCCTATTTGAATTTGTCGTAGGGTTCGGTATTTTTGTTATCCTTTTTTTTTATATTATATCATGAAATAAAATAAATGCTTTTTTTTATCATTCGTATGTCTTTATGCCTTTTCAGAAACACTTGTAGCTAAAACCTCAAAAACGTTCCAGCTATTTCAGTATCAAAGCTTTCAAGATCTAGCCAAAAAGAACAAAGATGAAACCCAAAGTAGACCAAAGGTAATACTACTTCTTTCAGAGTTTACTACAAGAAGTATTAATCAAAGATGCATTTCCAATAGAAAGGAGAAATTATGACAAGGCTACCCTTATCTCATTAAATTTGTAGTCTAAAATATAGGCAAAAGTAGTTTACCGATGTTGAAATCTCATCATCGATTAAGAAGACAAATTATGGTAACACAATAATTGAGGGAATTGCATGTACTACAAAAGGAGCAAGAACGATTGCGTGGATATGGTTAGCCTCTCCTGCTAGGCATTCATCACCGCCCTGCGAATCCACACTCAATCAAAAATATCACAATCGGAATTAGAACACAATCTGTAAAGTTACAGGTTAGACGACTATTCTACATTCTTAACTTAAGATCTAAGATCTAAGACTGTCGATAGGGAGTTGAGACACAGATATATCGTATCAGTCAACCAATTCGCGTAACGTATAAATTGATATAGGTAAACGTTAAAAGATATGCAGAGGGTATGATACTGTTTCTGGGTCTGTTTCTATGTATGTTGGCGTTTGTTTTTATAGCAGTTCATTGTTTCTGTTGTTCCGTTGTTTTCCTCTTATAGTTGATGTGTTTTCCTCGGTTTTGGTTTGTGACCCGGATTTGTATTCGCTTAATCGATTTATGACTATTGAACAGCGGTATACTACTGTTGCCTTTATTTACTACTGAGAACGGGAAATTGGCAACCATTCTTAAAAGTAATTCAGTCTATCAAAAATCATGTTTCAGGTTTTCATAAGACACTATTCTGTAATATATATAAGAATTTAAGATGATGAATTGTTTCTACTATTTTGGTGTACGGTCTTGAAACTTCTTGAATTACGGCAAAACTGTTATAATGGTTCAAAATAACTTTATTTTGAGATCTTGCAATTATTTGAAAAATGTTTGCTAATATTATTATTTTTTCAAAGGTGGAACCTGAATCGCCTATGAAGCCATTGTTCTTGGACGAGGAATGGTTGTTAAGACGAAGTGAAAGAATATTTCTAAGCGATCCTAGTCCTCAGCCTAGTCCAAATTATACCCAGTCATCAAAGCAATCTGTTTCAAAACCTCAAACAAAAGCTGAACCAAAATCAAAAAGTGATCAAGCTAAATTACAGAAAGCCAAGAATATGAAAGAACTAACTCAGAAAGTGAAAAGAAAGTACAAAAAATCAATGGAAAAACGAACAAGTATGAAAGCCCTGGAAAAGAAGAAGGTATTATATTTTTAGAAATGGTTACATTTAGATACTAGTATCCAGCCAGTTTTCTGAATTGTTATCATATTATTTATACAAATATTTTCATTGCAAAATTACTTTAGACAAAAATAACTGATTGATCAGGAACATGTTTTGTTATCAATGATATAAGATGTCTTAGCATATTATTCATAAACTGTTAACGGGGATATAACATATTTTTTTCTGAATGCAAAAACATTTCTGATGGGGGTTAAATTCACGCATCGAATGATAAGTTCACCGTTCACATCAATTGTGTATCTTTCTATGAACTATTTGCGGGGGAGATATTGTCTCGCATTTTACTTGATCGCGAAATAAGCGAAAATTTCCACGTTGATAGTACTCTGTACCAAATCTGTCAATGCGCTTTAAACAGTATATTTTTCACACTGTTATTTCCTCAATTTTACTAGGAACAAAGACGTGAATTAAAAAAGAACAGACTCAAAAGTGCGGAGGTGAAATCTCCAACCATTGTACATGAAAATGACGATAGCGAAAGTGAAGGAGATGATATCCCACTTAGTCGTCTTAAAGATATGCCTTCAACTCCAGGTACGAAATTAAGGCAGTTGTATCAAATTTCTAGTCATTGGTTCAAATACTTCATATATATTAACTGATAACACTTGATAATATATTGGAAGCAGTAAGTTAATATCGTTGTCTTGGCCTGTGAATTGCTAATTACAACAATCCCCAACATATGTATTGCAAGTTTATGCTTTTCGGTACATTTATAACCTACTATTTTCGTATGAAAATTCTAAATAATAAGGTGGAAAATAAAAAAAAATAATTTCTATGTTTGCCATATGATAGTGTTTACAGAATTCATACATTTCAATTTTAGACAGTTTTGTTCAGGCTCTTACTTTCAATACATCAACTCAATACGGAAAAAATTAATCACATGTGTATAACTGCTATTTAATACTGGAAAAAAGGTTTAGTTGAGAGTGATGATTTCTTAGCCTGAAAGGTTTTTCATTCACAAAAAATATATTGTTCCATAAAAAAATTAAACAATCACAATGTCTGTGAACGAAATCTCAATTCTTCATCTCACAATATGATGAGAAATATCTGCATTATTCAATTATTAAGCCATATTTCCTGGTTACTTTTCATTTACCTATTTACAGTGGTAATTTCAGTCTTAATATGTATGAATGAGAAATTACGTTGTCATGTTTTCAAACTTGATCAAACTTGTTTATGAAATTTATTTTATCAGTTTTCTCATCTTTACGGTAATCAGATGGATATTATTTCTTTTTAAAATAATAAAATAAATATGTTGACTTTGCAGCACCAAGAACCTGTGTACTTACCGAAAACGATCTCGAAGATGGATTAAATGTTTTAGTATTCAAAGATAGTTTGTTTTATGAAGGAACTGTTCAACCTATTCATCCGCCTGATATTTATGGTGTACTTATAAAAAATGAAAGAGGAAATCGCCCTCATATTTATTCAAGAGAAGAGATTCTGAAAGAAGTTGTAAGTATAATTGCTTGTGGAAATTTAGACGAAGTAAATATATAGTATCGTTTCTACAAAGAAATTTCTCCTATTTATAACATTATTTACATTTTTTTCTGAACCATTTCGTTTCAAATACTTTATTCCAAGGTATGTTAAATATCGTTTAAAACGCTTCATTTAATACACATTAGATAACCTTATATTAGAACATTTACTGGAACAAAGCTTTATACTTGAAAATGACCAACACACCAATGTCAGTAGGAATGTTTTCTTCTTTTACCCTATATCTGCATTATTCTTACCAACGTTCACACATAAAATCTATCTTGATTCAAATATATAGCAGTGTGAAATAATCTTACGTTTTCTATCCTATGTAGTCCACATTTTTGTTTTACAGTCCTCTGTCTTCCTTTGAAAAATTTAATTTTCAAATGTGTGGCTTACAGCGTTTCGTCATTTACAAGCTTTACTCAAAATTTGATATACCAATTCTATCGTATGTTTCAATGCACATAAAAACTGAACTATTTGGGATGAGTTGTTAAACTGTATTGTAGGTATTGGATCTACAACCCAATTCCATTCAGCTGCGAGAAGGTACACGTATTTGTGCTTACTGGAGTCAGCAATTTAACTGTTTGTACCCTGGAACTGTTTCCAAAGGTAAATTCCTCAGACACGGTTGTTTATATAATTTGATTTTTACGGAATTTTGTCAATAAGCTATGCTGTGCTAAATTTGATTTAAGCATTAACTACATAGTGTGCTGATTTGAAAAAAAGTGCTTAGCAGGAGCCGCTTTTCCTATCGACGCACCCGGTCTCGCTCCTTTTGGAGTTCATGCGATTGTTTGCCACCTTGATTTGGCTATTCCTGGTCGATTTACGAGATTTTAGGTTGCAGTCTTGTAATTGAATGCTCCATAGTCTTACATGCAAAACAGCTGATCTTTGAAAATAAAAAAATAAAAAATGCTACATAGAAAAAAAATTTCATGCTCATATCATGTATGTACTAATGTGAAATTGTGATTTAATCGAAAAAAAAATGGGTCATGCCACGAAGAATAAAAAGTTACGTAACCCTGAAGTCAAAACAATTTTTTTCTACTTTCTGTTTGCTGTTTACTAGGCCGCACCACTTCCAGTAAACATGATATCCCCAAAAAGATGCAAGATTTTTTTTAAATCTACATATATGTTTCAATTCAGCATAAACTTTTAATCAAACAAAACAAATTTAGTCCAGAAAAAAATTCTGAAAAATATGGACTATTTTTATTTACCTCCATGTTTTGACATGCACCGGAAACTGGAGTTGTAATACAAGACTGGTACCTATTTTAACATTGGTTTACTACTGTCGCCTTAATCGACGTAGTGGTTGTAAGATCCATCAAAGATACCAGACCTATAATTTTGTACGACAGATGCGCGTTTCGTCTACATAAGACTCATTAGTGATGCTCGAATCAAAACATTCATTCTCTTACTAAGGAATACAATATACAGCGTTTTGCTAAGTAATGCAGTCTTTGACCAAACAAATTGTAACGAATGTTCTCAAGACAATTTTTTTGCACGATATATTGAAGCTTGATTGTATGCAGTATAGCTTGCGTTTATTGATCTCTAAATGCATTTTGGTTTTATTCAGTATTGTCTCACTGGTGTATACCCAACGTATTAACCATTTAATCAAATACAGATAAAAAAAAAACTCACAGTACTCTACTCTCTCGCTTTTGTAAACGTTTACCGAAGAAAGAAAAATTTGGAAAGTCTACTGTGAATAATAAATATGAGAATGTGTTATACCAGGATACGTTTATTCCGTTGACACACCAAGTTTATGCGATTCCCCAAGTTTGTGTTTGTTACCGTAATCGATTTATGAGATTTGGTCATCGGTAACCTACTGTTGCTTTAATTTACAACTACTATACCAAAAAAAAATGTATGTAAAATTTGCTAGGATCAAATCAAAGTACTTAGTACATAATATTTATGGTTTTTTTCTGTAGGCAGTCCCAATTCTAGTCCAGATATACGATTCATCAATGTTGAATTTGACGATGGTGATTCTGGTAAAATTCCAATTGATCACATAAGATTGCTACAGGCAGACTTTCCACTTGTATGTAAGTATGAAATTTACATTAACAGATTTTTAAAAATATTTTTACAGATTTGTATCTATACATATGGGAATCATATTTTTGATTTTTGAAATTAGTTCTTTCTGCTTTAGAAAATGAAACAATCACTTTATTTGTTTCGTACGTCCGAAGATTACTTCGGCAGATTATTATCAGTCCCCTACCGACGAAGTCGAAGGGGACTTTAGGTTTGCACTCTGTCCGTCTGTCTGTCTGTCTGTCTGTCTGTCTGTCCGGCAAATCAGTTTTCCACACTTTTTTTTTGTGCTTGAAGAAATAGATTTGATATTTGGTATATATTTTTATCATGACAAGTTACAGATTAAGTTCGAATTTTGTTCTGGTCTGATGATTTTGTTCAAAGTTATGGTCCTTGGACTTAGAAAATTCACTCAAATAATCAGTTTTCCACACTTTTTTTCGTCATGCTTGAAGATATTGACTTTATATTTGATATATAGTTTACATCATGACAAGTTATAGATCAAGTTAGTATTTTGTTCCAAACTATGAATTTTTAACCGGTAGGGGACTATGTATTGCCATGCAATACTCTCAGAATGCTTGTTTTTTCGTATTTTTGTTTGTGTGTTAGTTTGATACAAAATTCATCTGAAACCAATTGTATTACAGCATATGATCCAAATCCTCTGTTGCTTATTGGAAAACGACGACGACATACAACGTCAGATATATCAGAACATAGAAAATCTGAAAATCCTTCTGTTTCCGATTCTCATATAAAAGTCAAACGTGGCCCAGGACGACCTCCAAAAATAAAACCGGACCATTTTTCGGAAATTCCTTCAGAAGACGAACAAGATATTGATGTTTGTGGCTTTGATGACAGTGATAGTGACACTGACAAAGACGATACCGACAGTGTGTTCAGTTTACATTCTTCGCAACAGCATAATAAACATCATGGTTCTAAAAGGAAGCATAAATCTGACAATGATAAAGATGAAAAAGTTAAAAAGAAAAAAGTTCGTTCGGAAGATAGGAAGAAAGAACGAAATGTTTTTGAGGATCAAGGTAATTTTTTGAAGTGTAATCATTCAGACATACCTCATTTGTCATTTATTCATCATTATCATTTTGGAAATCATCATGAGGGAAAATCCATATTGGCTCAAAGTCTGATGTTTACTCAGTTTAAAAGCATTGGAAATGGTGACATAGCAAGGACTGAATCATTGTTCCAGAAGCCATCGTTTAATGTAGAGACTAAAAGCAGAGCGGCGGCAGGTACTAATTACATTATACATGTTGTACTGCCTTCATCATGCTTCTACATACAATGGCTGTGCTTTTATCTTATATTTCCAATCGATGTTGTCGCTACTGAGATTGACTTTGTGGTAATATATTAAGTGCTGAAATATCCTGCACTATAATGTTATTAAAATACCTGAGTAAAGTAGCATGTAGGTTCGTCTATGTGTCATTATTCTTTATCACTGCAAAGTTTTAATTAAAAAGAAAAGATATAAAGACACGAAAGTCACGTTATAAATTAAAATTATAATTGCACAAATAGCTAGGTGTGTTTCATCTAATTGATTTCTTAGTTACTCACTTGCGTTTCGGGCGCTAAGATAACCTCATGCACTCCGATTATCTCCAATATTCAAATTAGGGCCATAAATGGTACTACTGTATAGAGTGTGACATTTAATCCTGGAAAAAATAATCAACATGGACTGTAATGTATGTGTATAAATTAAATATCCAAATCATTGTGTTTATCTGAAGAAAAATATTATGGAGTTGAAATAGTATAAATAAGAGGTGGAAGATACAAAAAGGATAGTCAAACTCATAAGTCGAAAACGAACTGACAATGTCATGGCAAAAAGCGATACACAACCGAAAGAGTCACAACAGTCTAAGCTGTTTTAAAACTGAATATATGTGTACCAAAACTAATATCAGTCCTTTCAGAAGTAACAACCAAGTGCCCTTGGAGGCTACTGATACGTGTAAGATAAACAGTACTGGACAAAGTTACCATTGAATAAGTTTTGTTGACAAACGTTTTGATCATGTTACTTTTAAATTTGTTGATAATCAAACTTTTTTCATAGCTTTTATACCACCACGACAGCTATGGCGATGGCATGGTAAAAGCACAAAAAGGCCTGGAATGAAAGGAAAAGCAAAGAAAGAATTTTACAGAGAGATTGTCCGTGGAAAAGAGGAAATAAAAGTAAATATTCTGATTACCTTGCATAATGTACATTTGTATATACATGTTTAAAGTAATGTAATGTTCTTGTATCGTCTGTAATACGGGCAACAATTAAGTGTAGAATATGGGTGGTTTTTATTTAGTTACTTAAAATGTTTGAAGTATTGCATTACTTGTCTTAAATCTGTAAAAAATACGTCCTTTTATTATTTTTTTGTTGTCATAGTGTTTTTCGTCTTTCTACTTGTAGTTATTAGTTGTCCCCTTTATATCGTACTTTTAAATCACAAATCCTCACAACTTAAGTGATTATATTTCAGGTTGGAGATTGTGCAGTTTTCTTATCTACCGGACGACCTCACTTACCATATATTGGTCGTATTGATAGTATGTGGGAATCGTGGGGAGGTCAAATGGTTGTCAAGGTCAAATGGTTTTATCATCCCGAGGAAACACGTGGTGGTAAAAAACTACAGGACATGAAGGTTTGCTATTTCAACTGTTTTATATGTTGACTGTGGTTGAATGCTTTGGTAGAAGTATCATTTTTATAGAAAAAAAAATTTATCATGTTAATAAAAAAAAAATTCTCAATAAATGACAATTTAAATTATGAGATATTTCCTGTAAAATCTTTTATCATGTTAATAGAATTCTTTTTTCTCAATAAATGACAATTGAAATTATTAGATATTTCCTGTAAAATCTTTCCTAAGAATGTGCTCATACCATGTCTTCGAATAATTATTACTGCGCCTGAAATTTTGTAATTGGTTTTAAGAACCGTTTTTATACGACCGCAAAAAAATTGCGTTCGTATATTGCTATCACGTCGTCGTCGTCGTCGTCGTCCGAAGACATTCGGTTTCCGGACAATAACTTTAGTTTAAGTGTATCGATCTCTATGGAATTTAGCCAAAAGGTTCAATACCACAAAAGGAAGTTTGGGATTGTTTTTGGGGGTGATGGTCCCAACCGTTTAGGAATTAGGGGCCAAAAAGGAGCTCAAAACAAGCATTTTTCTAGTTTCAAGACAATAACTTGTGTATAAGTATTTTGATTGCTCTGAAATTGTACCACAAGGTTCAATACCACAAGTAGAAGGTTGGGATACATGTTGGGGGTAATTGCCAAAACAGTTCAGGAATAAGGGGCCAAAACAAGCATTTTTGTAGTTTTCAGACAATAACTTGTGTTTAAGTGTATGGATGTCTCTTTCATTGTACCACATTTTACAAAAAGTAAATTTCTTCAAATATTATCTTTTGGAGGGGGGGGCGGTAAAAGAAATTTTGGGGGGGGTCAGTTTTTTTCCTCAAGATTTAAGAAATTATCAATTTTCCCCCCAAAAAAATGGGGGTCACAATTTATTTTGCTAATTCTTTGTATATAATCTGAAAACAGGTTTACTAAGTATTGCACAACAGCAAGAAATCTTCAATTGAATATAAATTCAAATCATATAACCAATTTCAAGTTCTTGAACTACATTTATTCTGTGTCAGAAACCTATAATGTGTCAAATATTTAATTACAATCCAAATTCAGACCTGTATTAAGCTTGAATATTGTGTCCATTTTTGCCCCAACTGTTCAGGGTTGGACTTCTGCGGTCGTATCCAGCTGCGCTCGGCGAAGCACATTTATTTTTAACATAGAAGCATATCCGTTGACTAAAAAAATTGAAGCAGCTGAATTTTTCCAGTTTTAAACAATGATATATGTTTAACTGGTTCGATGTTACTATTATGTTGATGACAACTGTTATGTTGGGAAATGTTATTGCTTCATAAAAATTCTTATCAAGCAATAAAGGAAAAATTAATGTGCCAACATTTTAGCAGCTTTTAGTTTTATAAACAGTGGTTATATATCTTTATTACAGAGAGCTCTATTCCAGTCCCCACATTTCGATGAAAATGACGTTCAGACAATTTCACATAAATGTGAAGTCATCTCTTACACAGAATATAGACGAGGAAAATGTGATAAATTAGAGAGTTGTGATGTGTATTACTTGGCGGGAACATATGAACCTACCATCGGATTACTCAAATTTGAACAAGATGTCATGTGACTTCGTCATGTCTGGGTCAAGTGACTTCCTTGAATAGTTGTGATATAATTATATGTACATGAATGTGTTCATTGAAGGTTGAGAATTACAGAAATCCTTACATTGCATTCATAGTTTCTTAGAAACTTGTCTGCATGGAGGTTTGAGCTGTGATAAGTTTTGTGTTCGGAGCATGTTTGCAAAGTCCCGAAATGTTGTTAAGACTTGTTTTTTAAAAACATTGTTGAATTATTGTTACACTATTGTACGTTGTTCGATTACAAATATTTTTGTTGATTTTGTAATATTTTATTGAAATAAGTGCTATGTTTAAAACATACAGTGCTAAGAACTTTCTCACATTTGAACTTCGCATTTAATAATGATACGGTGCTTTCATGAATACTTTTATCTTTGTCTCTGGTCTATATTTCTTAAATAAGAGAATATAAGTTCTTTTTATCTTATATCTTACAAAGCAGCATAATGTTTATATGTGTAAAATTTTCTATAACTTGCTTTTTAGACTGTTTATGTGCAATAGGCCGTTTCAGAATCTAAAGGACTATGTGTAATTTTATTGTTTATACCCCAAAATGAAAATAACGTCACGTCATTGGTTGAATTTCAATTGATTAGGACGTTTTTAACCAATCACGACACTTTGGTGTACACTTTTGAAAATATTACCCAGAACGCATTAGATTCTGAAACGGCGAATAGATACGCTGTATAGTTCAAAATGTATATGTATGCAGAAACAAGGATGTGTTCATATTCTCCCAAGCAGGCAACAGTGATTAGAATCACATTGAGTCAAACGGTTGATAGACGCTGAAACATTGTATATCTTTGGTATATGTCAATGAGATAGCAACCCAACGACACAAATAACCAAAGATAACTGAGATCAACATACAGTCTTGAAAGAATGTAAATTATTTGACAGATCTTCTAATACACAGTATTCATATGTATTGATTTATATTGATAAAAAACGTAGCCAAAAACAATATATTTGAAAACATCACACTCTAGCATGCCGTTGACATAGCACACATCATAAAATTCATACTTATATCTGATAGCTGACTGTTATAAGACACTAGACAGCTTAGACTGTCAAATTATATTATCTTAACAAACCTTGGATTCGGTGCTTTATTATTCCGTTTGAAATATATCCTTCCCCTCGCCTCCGTGTGAAAATAACTCGGAATAAATTTGGTATAACATTTTCGGTAAAATTATATTAATTTTATTATATCTATTTATTATTATATTGTTTATCTGATCTGAACACATCCTATGTTTTTGTTAAAAAGTCTTTCATAACTTTTGTGTTAGAAAGGTTGTGATGATGTGTATGAGAGATGTTATGAATCGGCGAGAGAAAAAGTGCGATAAAATAGTTGATGAATGAACAATAGTTGAAATCCAAGTAAAAGTATCATGGAGAATAACTGTGAGAACCTGCGTGCATGCAAGTCATAAATCTGAGCTTAAGAAAAAATCTGAACATGCATTTTGTCAATAAACATGTCTCTAGTAAAGTAGTTATTATTAAGGCATACCTTTGTCCCTTCCCACAAAATATCTATGTCATTACCAAATACGATATCATCATTTCTTTTACTTGTGATCAACACGAAGGTGCCACTGTTTAAGCAGACAAAAACTTTCCCTTTCGAAGTACCAGTTTCTATTCCCATGATGCTCGCAACCTAGTGTTCAGTATACATTTAATTTTTTTGACCTTCGTCGACTTTGGAAATCCCCCTTTGGTATCTTTTTTTTATGATGTTGGTGTATATTTTGAATTATTGAGGTACACACGCTGCAGATGTTCTGAAATATAAACTTATACCGACCTTTATCTTTTTTTTATTGTGGCTTTCTTATTCCTTCTAAATGTTCATTATGGGTATACGATTTCATTACTTCCTTTTGAATATTGTTTATCTATTTTGGTCTTTACGGGTATAATATTTCAGTGTTCCCTTAAAATATTTTGGCCTAATTTTATTTATCATTATTTACTTAATGGTGTCTATGAAAACAATACACCTTTCCACTCTCCTATCAATCATCAGTAAATTGACCAATCACATGTGGTAAATTTACCACATGTATAAACATTTGATATCAGCACGTGTTGTCGGCCATAACCTTGGTCAAACATTCTTATCTAAAACAGTTAATTTGATCTAACATTTCTTTAAATTTTCACAATTAATTCGTCCAGAATTTTGTTTTTGTGAAAGCAATCAATGTTAGAGGGTAGAGGAAGGCCAAGTTGATAACTTGAAACAAAAAACGAACAGTTATTAATAAATCAATTAAAAAGGAATATGATGGCAGTGCTTATAGTTTTTAAAATATTGTTTGCATGTTATTTTGAAAAAAATATATTCTGAAACACGAGATTTGAATTGGTGTACAAATTGAGTTGAAATTGATATTTTTTTTTCAATTTAAAAGTTTATACCATAAAACATGCAAGTTAGTTTGTAAAATTTCTGGAAATTACATTATATATAGTAAAGATTCAGCAACAAAAAAAAATACACCTTTCCCTATTCAATTACAAAGAATTATCTATAACTTATTCAAATGTTAAAATATTTGTACTTGGTAGCAGTTTAAATTGAAAACTTCAGGAAATATTATCTTTTGGATGGACAAACTTACAACATAGTATTTCCATTATCCAGTATAAAATTTGTACAAGAACTATTCCATGTTCTTTGGCAATCAAATTATTTTAGAGGTAGTGTAAGTTTTCCAACCTTAAAATCAATCTGGAAGAAAAAACATACAACCTCATTGGAATGAGATGGAAATTAAAATTACTGATCAGAAAGTCTGTATGGAATGAAATGATGTAGTGAATTAGATATTTGTATTCTTTTTGTGTACAAAATATATAAAAATGAAAGTATTTATGTTTGTACTCACCTTATCGCTAGCATTTCGTTAAAAGACAGAGGGGGAACTCAAATAATAATAAAAAAAGTTTGTTTCAATAAATGCTTCATAAAAAGTTACATAATGTTCAATTTTGATATGACTTTGTTCTACTGTGGGAATATTTGCTGATTGTACGTGACCTTTTTTCAAATTGTATGTATGAACAAGGAATTGTATATTTAAATATACAATTCCTTGGTATAAATCACAAAATTAGAAAAGAAGTGAGAACTATTGGATACATTTTATTTTCTTAATTTGAAAAAAAGGGTAAGTACAATGTCCAAAGATTCCTGGACAAGGACAAGAGTTGTATATAAAGTTAAAACAAAGACGAAATAAAATGACCAAATATTCCTGTATGCAAATAATCAATTTTCTTATGTTCTTTATATTTTACTTAGTGATAGGAATTTTAATTATCATTAAGTTATTTATGGATATAAAAACAGAAAACCTGTTAAATGTTATTTCATAAACAATCAATAGGTACTGGAGCAATGATGCTTGTTTTACAAGTTGACCCATGCTGTGTTTGTCTACACAGTAAACACACTTATCAGCTTCATTAGACATGCTTAATTAAACCTGTAATTTATCATATTAATTATGTAATGTAATATTCTATATCTTGTTGTTAAACTACATTTTGGGGGGAATATTCAGTATAAATGGACATAATTTCTTCAAAATGTCATAAATTTATCTTTCAACCCTTCGGGAGTATTTATCTCATCACACTTTAACACAAAAACAAACATATGAACAAAATATTGCTCTTATTTATATTTGTTATGCGGTACACGATTGCAAAATCAATTATATTGCAATGCAATAGGAACGCAGACAAAAATCTGATGTATACGATTGACAAATAAATAGCAATCGGGAACCTATATATGTGTCGTACCGATATCCGGTAATAGTTGTGGAATCTGGCAAAATTGCATGTGTTATGTATTTTACCTTTGTCATATATAGCACTGCAACAGTTATTATGCTTACTTGTGATGTTAAACTCGGACCATACCAGTAAGCCAGTCTTAAAACCAGATTTGATGAACTGAAAACGGCTAGTGAAACCATATAATACGCCATCTCAATACTCCCCTGTTATGATTGTGTAATCATCTTTTTGTCAACTTCCTCCTATTTTGCCATTTTTCTGTTTTGGAATATTATAGTGCCCTTTCACAGTGGCTGTAAATGATGTTTTTATATCAATCCCAATGTCGAATTTTATTATTTTTAATAAAGTGATTGGCCGGTACCTTGCGTAGATCAAGTTAAAACTAACTTCTTGTCCTCTTTTATACTTATTCTCAGTTTCTCCAATTTCTTAATTGATAATGGTCCAATTCACGGATGGATAATTTGAATTTATGAAGATAAGTCTTTTGCTGAAATTAAAACTCGCGTTGTTTAAGGTGTTAACATTAAAAAAGTATCTGTCATGTCAAAGAGCTAGTTACTGAATTAAGGCGACAGTAGATTCACGATGTTGAAATCTTTGAGTAATTTCCAACATTTGAATTTCACGGTAGGGTAGCTGACCCCACGTTTCACATGCATAAAGTGCAGTTGTAAGGATAATTCTTTTCCATATCAAGTTATTTGTTAAGGCACTCATCCCCCGTGGATTAACACCAACAGTATAAAGTGACTGAAGTTTCTGTTTCAATTGTTTACTGAAGTTATCTGATCTATCGAAAGTTTTTCCATCTGAATTTATAAGTGTTCCAGCGTAAGTACATGTACGTTTTCTTTCGAGTACAATATTACCTAGGTTAAGACATGTTGCAGAGTCTTTATTGTTGCGAGTCTTTCTTGGTGGTGTCAAAGTCATAACACTGCTTTTCGACACATTATATTTTAACCGCCATTTGAGCGCATAGCTGTTTACAACGTTTGATAATGTCTGAGCACCATTTACTGTTGCGCTTAATAAAGTCGGGTCATCGGCTAACAAAATTGCTGGTATGCTGATCGGGCCACAATTTGTCGATATGAGTTCACAAATCAAGTCATTGATGAATACGGAAAATAGCCAGGCAGACAAAATACGACCTTGACCTACTCCTTGTTCAATCCGAAACACCTTACTTGTTATACCACTATGCTGCACATGTGCTGTTGTAGTTTTATACGACATATATATCAGATGCCACAGTTTACCATGAATTTCAATCTGATTCAGTTTGTATAATAGTCCATCTTGCCACACACGGTCAAAAGCCTTTTCATTGTCAAGAAAAATGGCATAAACAATCGAATTACGTTCTAGATAATAATGAATTGCATCTTTTAAGGTATATATAGCCGGTATTGCACAATGGTCTTTTACGAACCCAAGCTGAAGTGGATTCGGCATCACACTATTAATATCAACAAGGAGTTTATGAATACGATTCAAAATTATTTTATCAAAAAATTTTCTTAATGAAGTAGTTAAAATTACGGCACGATAACTATTTGAATTTGTTTTGTCTTTATTATTTCCTTTATAAAGAGCTATATTTGCAAATTCTTTTTAACAACGCGTGTATTGTAGTTACATGTTAATATTTATAATACTTTATTGTAATTTACTGAAAACTAATCTTTTTATGATACATATTTGATTATTCAATCATACAAGTATATGTAAAATTTTAATGATTGGTGATAACAATGGAATTGTTGTTACGTGTACAATAGCTCGCAATAATGTCTTCATACATATACTTTTTGTAAATACATATTTGCTTATAGTCTTTTGAAACGGAACAGAAAATATACCAGTTTTGTAAAAGGTAAATTTTATTATTGTGTTCCCTGTTAAGGAAAAACGCGAGCTTAGATTTCGTAGGTTTCCTAAAACTGAATAGTTACTGTGAACTGGCCATTTGAAAGAGCAAATGAAGTAAGTTTAAAATTAACAACGACCCCTTCAGCCAAAATCATGGACACATTTCGAATTTCTTTCAAAGCATTTTAGCTCAATTTGCACTTGAGGGCCATGTGAGCTTGTGTAATCATTTGGCGTTTGTGGTCTTCTTCCTTCGTCCGTCGTAAACTTTTTAAAAAATCTTCTCTGAAACCACAAAACCAAATGATTTGAAAATTGACAGCAATGATGTATTGTAGGTCCTCTACAAACGTCATCATTTTATTCCGATCGGATGAAAAACATGGCCACCATAGGTAAACATAGCAAATAGGGTCAAACTTTTTGACCTGTATTTCAAAAACTGAAATTTTTAGATCAAAACTAAATGACAACCAGGTCAAGGTATATCTACTGCGAAAAATCGGACAACCCGTTTGAATTATTGTCCACTAAATGTCCCTTTTTAGAAAATTTGGTAATTTTTGGCTATTATCTTAAAAACTTTAAAAGATGGAGAGAAATTTGAATAGGAAAAAATTACAACTAGACAGATATCCAAAAACAAATCAACATGACAAAAAAAATTGTCAATTAACTCTTTGTAGCAGTCATGGCCCTAAAATGATGAGATAAGTGAACAGATAAAATTATCAGTAAGGCATGATAAAATACATAACAATGGTCGAAGTCGTCAGTCCATTCCCTGTAAGAGTTATTGCCAGTTCATGATGATTTTGTGCAGGGTTTTTATACTGTTATCTCGAAAACAATAGTATATAGAGAGAAATTCTGAAAAGCAAAAATGAGCCGCTAGACAAAATCTAAACAAATTCATCATGACTAAATTGGTCAGTCGACTCCTTATTTGTGTTGTTGTCCTTCAATGATGATTTTTAAGCCTTATTGTTGCTTTATGGCGAAAACTATAGTTGATATTGAGAAGCTGCAAAAATGATCTGGAAAACAATATCTACAACTAGTTCAACATAATTGAAATTTTGTCGATCAATTCAATATATGAGCTATATCCATGAGAGGTTGAGTTATACCCTTTCGTGTGTTTTTTGCTTTTATCTTGAAAACTACAAAAGTTAAGAGAGAAACGGTTCCCTGCAACAGCAAGATAAATCTACAAACAGCATAACTGAAATTGTCAATCTATTCCTTATAGGGGTTGTTGCTTTTCGATGACCATATCTTACCCATTTTAAAATTGTTTGCTTTAATCGTTAAAAGGTAGAGAGAAACTGTGAACAGTTTAAATGATCAAAAGGATAACTTTTACAAAAAGTTGAACATTACTGAGTTTATCTGGATCAAACCTGGGGCCAGTAACAAGAAACTTCTATTAAAGTTCTCGTAAGTCACAGTTTACGATAGCACAAAGAGCGCTACGAATCTTTTAAGAGTGTAACCAGAACCATTCTTTCCTCGCCCTTTTCTTTCTTTCTTTCTTTCTTTGATCTAGTCATTGCCAAATAAAAATCTCTCGCGCGTTTTGAAGTTACGGGATTGTTTGCTTACATAGACTGCTTAATTCGAAAATGATAAAGATAACAACGACGGAAATTTAAGAGAAAAAATGAATATACTGGCTCAGTGCAAAAGATTCCAAAAAACGAATTTTAAACAAGATGAAACATCCTGAAATATTTAGATAAGAGGAATATTCATACCGTTTATTCGTTAAAATGCAGTTCAACTGTACTGATAGATCGATATATAGATAGTAATTTTATTAGTTTTGGTGGAAATTTGAGGATCAGTATATATATGAGATACTATTTTATAGATTTCGGGGAAATTTGAGGATCAGTATATATAAGTATAAATAAGACAGTGTTTTTAAAGTTATGGGGGAAATTCGAGGATCAGTATATATAAGACAGTGTTTTAAAGTAGGGAAGAGGGGTTAGGATCAGTACATGTAAGATTCTATTTTATAGTTTTGGGGGAAATTTTAGGATAAGTATATATAAGACAGTTGTTAGAAATATACATTAAAAACAATAATTTCTTTAATAATTTAGTCTCTAAAAGGGTCTCAAAATCAAGAGGATTTCAGGGGTCATGGAATAAACGTCTTGTAAAGCGATCTTGATTTCTTCGCCTGTTAATTATTCATCATACGTAAAACAAGCGCCATTTTCATTCAAAGAGTAGTTTAGGGGTGGGTAGAACCAAACTTATTTTAAAACGTGTTAAGTAGGAATCGTGTTACGCTCGTAAATGCTTAAGTTGATACAAAGAGTTCTTACTAAAGGACAAAAAAAATAAGATGTATTCGAGTTATCCGAATTTATAAGTTTATGATAAGGGGATGCAAAGAATTCCCTTAAATCTGTAAGAAATTCGAATGTCTTAAGGGCTGCCAATCATTCTAAGATTGATATAAGATTGCTTCTTGTTACACTCTTAGTCACTAAGACGGTCTTAAGATGATCTTACGTGCTAAGAGAGCTTCTTGTTACCGGCCCCAGGTGACCAAGTCAGGCACCTTGGAGCCTCTATTTAAAGAACACTTTATTGCAAATTCATTCTATTAACAAAGTATTCATACGTCTGTATATCATTGTTAGTTAATTACTTAATGATCAGAAAAATCATCCAATGAATAACAAATTGACAAATACACCATGATATTATTTATTTAACATAAACAACGATCTACAGTATCCATGTCGAGTTCGTTTGTGAGGAGAAAAACTATTAAGTTAAGATAATGATGAAAACGTATTTTGTGTGATCCAGGTATACGAGATAAACTAATCAGATTGGGAAGTTTAAACTGGAATCCCAACTCATATCAAATATGCTACATTCAGAGTGTTCCTTTGAAGTAAAAACACATTTTTTTTCTTCCTTTAAACACCATTAGAAAATTTTAAAGTACTAACGTTTAAATAACAAACATGCTTGATTTTGTTGTCCTGATTGTTCAAATTTGATTTTTTTTTATCCAAAGATGAGAACGAATTCAAGCAATCTAGAAATAAATTAATTCTTCTGTACTAATAAGTCCATGAAGTTGAAGCTTATACAAATTTTGCTTTAGATACGATAAGATTGTAACGTAATAATTTTGTACAACTTATTTTTCTCCTGAACTAGTACTAAAGACAATGATTCGAAACATTATATATATATATACACAGTTCGAACGATATCTCTTCTTAATCTAATTATGTTAGCTCATAGAGAAAATTATCAAGGAATATGATATAAGGAGCCTATATTGGTTCCGAGGAACATAGAAAACAATTTCATTCAAATACCTCTGAAAGAACAACATTGCTATCAGCTGGATGACAGCCATAACTATATAAACAGACATTTAAAGATGACTCTAGAACTTTTTCACCAATTGTTTTGGCAATTCCTGTTATCATTGTTATGTTTTATTTTAATTTATGAATATATACTAAACATCTGCTTAATATCTGATGAAAAGTTCTCGATTTAATTAATCACCATAATTACCGTTAATTAGGGAAAAAATGGGTACATAAAATTAGTGACCGCCTCGGTGGTCTCGTGGTGGCGTGTTCGCCTCGAGTGCGGGAGGTCGTGGGTTTGAACCCCGGCCGGGTCAAACCAAAGACTTTAAAATTGGTATGTGTTGCTTCTCCGCTAAGAACAAAGACTGGTCGGCTCGGGGTCAGAAAAATGTGTCCGGATAAGGTGACATGTCTTCCTGCGGACTGTTACTTTGTGAACTAGCACGTTAAAAATCCGACTCAGCGTATCGTTCTGAGCAGGGCAAATATTCATATTACATTAACATGTTCTCGTCCTGAATATACATATTAGTTTGCCGCTGGACTTTCATCATCATCATCATCATCATCATCATCATCATCATCATCATCATCATCATCATCATCATCATCATCATCATCATCATCATCATCAAATTTGATTATTAAAGTTTTAGTCCCGTGTCACTCTTTTTTCATCACACATATTGTTGTCAGCTTTCAAGCGACAGCTAAATTCCTATGTGTTTAAGAAATAAAACCACAATAAATATTGTTTCATATACTTTAAGAAATGCTCTGTTGTAACTAAACAATATTCTGTCTTGATTTAATGTCTTATTCGGTAGTGAATAGTTTTAAATAAGTTCAAAACTATAGGTTCAAATACACTGCAGATCATTTGATAATATTTTTTTAACAATTTCTTATTCCTTGTCCAGTAAAAAATCTTTCATTTACATTAAAGGGCTTTGACAGAAATCTTTTTGTTATAAACCCACAGAATGTGTACATTGTTCAATTAAATATTACGATGAGAAATTTTTGGCCGATCTTTTAAATTAGTAAATGGTGTATTACCTAAAGATGGGTATATGACGTGGAAAAAAAAACATATGATGTAAGTTTTTATTTTCATATTTCTTAATTTTCTTGATCAATGTTTTATTTTGGAACAAGCAGGTGGTGAACGTGGAACCGAGGGATTTTGCCTTTTGCATACCTTTTTTGAAAAGCTTCTGAAGAATTCATAGTTTGTGTTGAACAGATTTTGTCGAGAATAATAACAATGACTGCACTGTTTCAATGGCGTTGATTTAAGTCTACGAAATAGAAATATGTGTATTTGAAGAATTTCATATATATTTTGAATACCCTAGAAAATAAAAATTCATCTAAATAATAATTATACAAATGATATGTACCATCTTAAACACAAGGAGTATATTCTTTGGTAACCGGAATGGACTTTGGTGAATAGCGCAAAATTACTTAGTACTAGTATTATCTATTGTTCATTGAGAAATAGAATTTAATATAATTTGAAGTAATTTGAAGTTTTCCCGGTGAATACCATTTTTGATTAGGACTGTATATAAATTCTACACCGGTTACTAATTTATATTAAACATAGTTTATTTTATTTACGACAGACATTTTTTATCAATGCGTATGACCGATTGAAGTCATTGAAACCTTAGATTCGAGTAAACATTGGTGGAATACAACTAGAATGAGCTTATTGACAACGATTATTATATTGCAACGTAATGTGGTTTGAGATCACATTTTATGGACCACATTGTATTTCGCAACAATAGGAAAGTAATAAATACTGCGCTAACCTTTTCTTCCCTTTTTTTCTTATTTGGTTTATGGGTTTAGGGGGGGGGGGGTGTTGTATTGCGTCATTACCCATTGATTAAAATTGCCGTTTACACAAAAATCTTTAATCATTTGACAAAAAAAAATCTGTTATCTTGTAAAACAACACGTTCTGATTCCTGCTCACATAGTCGGTCAAATACGCAACAGCGATACACCACACCAAAATTTAGTTGATAATGTTGACGCCTAACATATATCTAAAAACTAATTATGTTGGGATTAAAAAAATACCGAAAATGTTGGTTGATTTATTTATGTTAATTCATTCTTCATTTATGTATCGTTAATTTTTGTTCTTCATGCACCATTTAGATTTTGATGCTGCAAAAATAATTTTATAAAATTGAAAACGGAAATCGGGAATGTGTCAAAGAGACAACAATCCGACCAAAGAGCAGAAAACAGCCGAAGGCCACCAATTGGTCTTCAACACAGACAGAAAAACCCGCACCCGGAGGCGGGCTTCAGCTGGCCCCTAAACAAAACTGTGTACCAGTTCAATGAAAATGGACGTCACACTAAACTCCAAAACATATAAATGAACTAAAATTAAAAAACATACAAGACTAACAAAGGCCAGAGGCTCCTGACTTGGGACAGGTGCAAAAATGCGGCGGGGTTCAATATGTTTTGTGAGATCTCAACCCTCCCCCTATACCTCTAGCCAAAGTAGAATAAACAAACACACAGCAATACGCACAGTAAAACTCAGTTCAAAAGAAGTCCGAGTCCGATGTCAGAATAGGTAACAAAAGAAACTAAGGACTACCAGCAGTTGCTGACATGCCAGCTCCAGTCCTCAACTAAACTGATTGACAGATTATGCCTTCATCATATGAAAATCAAGCACGATCCCTCCCGTTATGGGTTTAGTATCATACCATCATAAAATATATGAGAAGAACATAACCCGTATCATGCCAACAACTGGTTTTAGAATAAATGTGTTTATTTCCGATGCAAAGACCCTATGAGTGAATCAATATTAATACTAAAATATGCCATCTTTAATGACATGACAACAGTATCGTAACTATATCCCTTCTGAATAAGTCTGTTTAAAGGTTTGGTTAGCTTTTGAGGTAAATGTCGACATTTTTTGTGCTTTGTATAGAATATTACCATAAAAGATTGGATGTGAAATACCTGAACGTATAAGATGTCTGCATATTGATTTATATTTACAAATGATGTCCTTGTACCGATGATAAAATTTAGTAAATGTTTTGACTAGTTTGTGATATCGAAAAACCTGGTGTAATAATTTTTCAGTAATACAGAGATTTCTTTCGTTAACATCAAATACGTTGTTACATATTCGACCGAATCAAACAAGTTGAGATATATAAACACCATAAGTTGGTGACAAGGGAACGTCACCATCTGAAAATGGATAATTAGCAATAGGAAATGAAAAATCATCTCTTTTATCATAAATTTTGGTATTAAGCTTCCTGTTAAAGATATAGATATCAAGATCCAGGAAAGGGCAGTGTTCATTGTTTGTATTAGCTTTATTTAAAGTCAGTTCAGCAGGATAAATCTCTTTAGTATACATGGGTCTTTGCTGATTTTAGTCATAAATTGTATCTCGTATAACAACACAGAAACAGGTCCGCAATAAGTGGTGCACAGTTAGTCCCCATTGGAATTCCGATAACTTGACGGTATACGGAATCTCCATAGTGAACAAAAATGTTATCTAATAAAAAATCAAGGGCAGTTATCGTATCATAGCAGGTCCAATTGACATAGTTATTTTGTTTGCTGTTACTAAAAAATTACCTAAAGAGTTTGAACATATATATTCGCATTCTGACTTTTTAATGCCCATTTATTTAGGTGTGTGATTTTTTTCTTAATTAGATTATGAGACAAAGTGGTATATAGGGTAGAAAATCAAAACTTTGACCAGATTCGAAATCACCAATTTAAACATGCAATTTATCAAGTACTTCCAACGAATTTTTGACACTCCAAAAGTAATTAATTCCACTATTTTCAAAGGCCTTATCTGAACAGTTTATTACCAGGTTTTTTATTGTACAAAGTGTACTAGAAGTAAGTAGAATAGACAGTTTAGTAGTGGGACAATGTCTTGAAGACGAAATAAATCTATATGTGTAAGGTGTTTTGATTATATTGTTGAATCATACCGTTAATTTAAATGTAATCAATCAATTGAAAGGTTTCATCATAATGATAATATATTGTTATTTCATGTTGAAACTCCGAGATCAAAATACGTTAACTTTGTCAAATTTCAGATTTCTCTGTAGCCGACACCATTCTTTCTTTTCCAATTCGTGCGCACGTATGACGCAAGACAAAACAATATCCTGCTACTTCATTGAGCGTGTGGATAAAAAGGCAATAAAATTACGTCTTTTTAGTTATTCTCGATAGGTATCGGTTACATATGATGTCACAAACATATAATGCAATATGTCTCTGGTGATGCTAAATGATTTTAATAGAAAATTTACGATAAGATTGGAATATAATACGTAAGTGCCACAGTGGGTAAATCTGTGTTTTTAGTTCTGATCCGTGAGACGTTTCTAGCTGCATTAGTTCATTTCTTTGAAGATCCCAATCTGTAGATCAGATTTAGATTCTTAATATTTCTATTGCGACCTGTCGGGATTTTTCCCAAACAGAATTTTTCGGCATTGTCATTTATAATTAAAGGTACATATCGTACAAGATTGTGTACATAAATAAATTAAAGGAATAAAAGTTGTTGATACAAATGAACTTTGTTTAATCTATAGTCTCAGTGTATGGTTATAGCTATATAAAGGAAAAGTAAATATTGGTATCTGAAAAGGGAAAATACAGACTATGCATGTATAAACCCTGTTATTAGGATTTATTACCTAATGCAGATGGGTTACAGACATAATATAAAAGTAAGTTAATATTCTTTTTTTTAGTATTTTTCTCTACAATTTTAATTGGTTCAGATATAAAGTCGCTAAAGTATTCTATTAAAGCACGAAAGACTATCAAATTTATAGATATTAAGATAATATAGAGAGAAATATATATACTTATATATACTTTATGCCCTTTATGGGTTCTTGATTAGATTAATAAAATTCTTATCTTATCTTATACTTAAGGGCATCAAATTTACCATATTTTCAACGGGTTTATTTAGTCTCATTGATACCCCACAAATCCCCTGTCTTCCTAAATTTGTTTCCTCAAATAATTTTATATTAACAATCTTAATGCAATGCGCAGAGCATCTCTTTTTCTTGTCCGAAAATCCTTTCAACGATCTAATTCATGATTTTACATTATGCATACCTATACCATGTTTGTGAACACTTTTTCTGTAATATTAAGAGTCTGTGTGTAATTAAATAAAATATCGACTTTATGGCCTGTAATATGAAATATGCAGACAAATAAATTTGTATCAGGCAAATTCAAATTCAAAAGAATTTTCCAGATGGAACTTTGTCAACGCTCACAAAATATTCAAATGGACCAGATATTTACATTGTACGAACATTGCTTACCTGAGGAGAGCCAACGATTTAATTTCAAATTGATCGAAACATTGGTACCATGTATCATTAGTATGCCATACACAAATGTCCTAATTGGAAATCTAGCATGCAATATTAAACGATATTGAGAATGATTGTAGAATCTAAAAATTAGGAGATGCGATAAGTGCCAATCAGACAACTACACACCAGAGTTCAAAATTCGACTAATATAGTAAACAGTTTCATATGAACTCGCACTCACGGAAATAGTAGTAAAAAATAATTTAGCAATTGGAAAACCAAATTAAACGAAAACCTTATCTCCAACATTCTCGCAGCACCCGGTTATATACATATATATATATATAAAATTTCGACTGCACTATACGATGATTTAAGGATTGCGATATTTAAAGAATCATGGCTTATCGTGAAAAAGCTTTGATGTATCTTCGACATTATTAAACTTAGCAAAATTCAATTTCTATAAAATATCTTATCCTTTGATCTATGTGTTACACCTATGATAAAAAGGCACCAAAAAGACATTTACACACAAAATTTCATTACATAACGAATTTTGTTACCTTTTATTTACTGTAAAATTTTGGTCTTCGAAGAAGCAACATAAATAGATCACCTACGTGTTGCGTAAGTATATCGCCGTTGATTACTGTCTCGATATAGCTTGTGTCCTCTTGTCTGCACACAAACAGCGCTACCACATTAACAGCTTAATGAGACCACAAATATGCTAGCCTTTGTCAGATTTGGTAAAAAGGTGTTGACCTTAAATATCACTAATGCGACAATTTGTTGTAAATCAACTGTTAATTAAATATTTGAATCATTCGAAAAACTAAGGTTCTCTACTCTCAGGCTTAGGCTACAGATGACCTTATCCTGATTTGGCAGCACTTTTTGGAACTTTAAAGTTTTGGTTTTCAATGCAGTTCCAATTTTTTAATTGATTCTGTTTTCAATGTGAGTATTTACATTAGACCTTTAACACACAGCTGGGCGGTCACCTATCAAGTAAATACGCCAAAATACTATCAAATGATATCCCTATATTTCTATTGTTTAACGTCCTCTGTCTAATCTTGACTTTGTATTTTATATTTTATCGCCATTGTTCACTGGACAGAACGATGGGTAGTTCAAAGAAGAATATTTTAGCTTTCCGTTGCATCTTTCATCACTACTATAGTTATGATTGGAGCTTGAAATGTTTTTGTTTCGTTTTAAAGATTTAAGTTTTTAAGTGCTGTATTGCGTTGTTTTACTGTTTGTCTGTTCACCTGCCTTGCTATTTTGGATGTGTCTCACTTGTGTATTGCCTCTGAACTTGATTTTTTATTTCGCATAAAATAAAGTCGTTTTGGTATGTTTTGTCTGTTTGCCTACATTAGCACACATGCATGTGGTTTTATTTGCCAAATTTGGTTACTGTGACGTCCATTTGAAAATGAAAATATGACAGTAATGTTAATAGACTAATATGTAGCTGTATGAACAAATTGTTTCAAATTAAACGTTTAAGCACAATGAGTTGACATGTTAAAAAAAACCAACAACAACCTTTATCGTTTAAGTTATTCTTGATACAAAATTACACTGATGGTAAGAATATCATTTACAAAAATTGGTATCCCACGAATAATATAATGAATCCACAGTACATTGAATATCTATGGTGAATTGTTTTTTGGAAATTCAGATACACCAGAACCAAGCATCAAGACGTAAACATGTTTCTACCACGCAGGGGCAAAAATATACTATTCGATTAATACTTATATATATATAAACTGCTACTTCTAAATTTGAACTCCGAACCTTAATATCCTTGGTTTTTGTGATATTGATTTGCTGGGCAACAAAGTGAAAGAATAAGCAAACGTGTAGGTTATACAAAAGGCACGAAAAGTAATCGGAGATATATTTAACTTTTGTTTGAATAAACTGTGATTGTTAATACAGCTTTTATGTTTCGTTTGAAGAAATGACATCATAGTATTTAAACTTACAAAATGGAACTATCAACACTTTCACCTGAACTGGAAAGAAACAAATCAGAAATGGAAAATGAACTTCTAATTAAACTTGGAGTCAAGAAAGAAGAGGTGAGGTCGGATTTTTGTTTTAATTTCTATCCTTTTTACAATTTAGCTTAAAGACAACTTTAATATTTCACTTGAAGAACATTGACAGCACATCATTCTATTTTAACATGCAAACTGGAACTATAAACTTTTTCACCTGAACTGGAAGATAAAAGGTTTGGTATTACCCTTTTTTATTTTTGTCTTCTAAAAATAATCAATTATGAACATTATGTTTAATGCTCTTACACGTTACAAATTAGCAAACCAAATATATAATAAAAAGTTTAACACTGATAGACTAATTTTAGGACACGTTTATCATTTAAGTTTGACTGGCATCCGGATATCATAGACCGTAAATCAGAACGTCCCAAGTCAAGTATTCATATTGAGTATCCTTTGGATATCAAAGTTGGACGACCGAAAAATAATACAACAGAACAGAATCGTAAGTTGAAATAGAAAAAAATGCAAATGTGATTCAGTTTAACATGTTAAGTATATGGAAAACAAGTGAAAAGAAATTAAGTACATGTGATAAAACTTGTTATACTTTCGAACAAGAAATATTCTGTACATTCTAATAACTGCATGGGGCTTGTTTCAGGAAAATGGATGTTAGAAATTGTCACAGGAAACATAAAATACTCATTAATCATAAAAGGGTTTAGATAAGGGATAGTGTTTCCAGAAGAAGAATATGTATGTAATAAGAATGACTCCATGTATTTATAGGTAATCCATGGTATTGTAACAACCAAGCTCTCAGGCAAATGACAATGGTAAGTATGATTGAATAAAAAGGCATTTGAAATTTTAAGATTTTCAGTAAATTAAATTTCTTAGTATTTGTTGAGATACTTTACTTTTTACAACAAATTATAAACTATCGATCAGGTATGTCAGTGAAATTGATGCCATGGTTTTCTCTTGAATTAGTTCACATTTTGCCATGTCAAGGTCTTTTACAGTTGAATAGGGATATGTTCATTGTTGAAAGTAGTACGCTGAACTATAGTGGCTTATATCCACGTGATTTGGTTCGGACTATGCTGGATAGTTGTCTCATTGACAAGCATACCACACCTCCTTATTTTTATACCAACACAAATTTTCTATTTAATCGTGTCTGAATTTTCCTTAAAAAAGGATGCTGGATAAACATTCTCGTAAAACACCATATTGTATATGCATACACTTCAGTATGTGTTTTATAAACATTATGTATATACAACTAACGCTTGAAAATAGGGAGTCTAACAATATTTTAGCTAAAAAAATGTAGAAAGAATTGAGCAGACAAAAAGTGCAACCGTTTTATTCAAAACTGAAAACAAATTACCAAGTTCAACAAACTGTCATTGTTTGAATAGTTAACGAAAATAATAAAAAAAAAATCATGACAATGTGATGTGTGCATCATCGTTTTGCAAAAGAAAGCAGATCAATAAGGTGAGGGTAGGTTAAATTAAATAAAGGTCCATATAACAATTAGTTTTGTAATTGAATGGAGACACATTTGAAGACATGATATAACTTAATTTTTATTTCAAACTTATTAATAACTTAAAAATGACCCAGTAGACTATGATAGATTCCATGTTACTCATCATTTTGTGAACTCTATTTTCAGGTTTCAAGACACGGCCCAAGAAGTCTATATTTCAACAAACATCGAACAATGTCAAACACTGTCAATATTCTTCGTATTTAGTAAATTATATATACTAGTACTCATATGTTATTATTGTTAATGGTACATAAGCTTTGATAACTAAATTGTTAATGCACCTGTACACCGGCGAATCGAGACCTGTAACTCTTAGTAATAATCTTTTTTCAAAGCCCAATATTCATACAAAAAATGACACTTAAATCTTAATCTTTGCTTGCATATTGGTGGGGTATATGAGAATCGCGTTCTTTCAATCACTGGCGCTTGGTTGCATAGACCCTCTTTTTGATTGTCTTCCATTTTTTAATATTTTAACTTCTTTTCACTGATTTAATGTGTTCTCTCTTATCCATAAGATATTACGATAAGCTTATATTTGCTGCCCTTTTATAAATCTACAAATTTCAACAAATAAATCATTTATTCACGTCTCTTCAGGAAAAAAATTCGAAAAGAAAAGTTTATCATAATACAAATGTATTTATTATTTTCAAGATTCTCTGAAAAATCGTTAGTTTGGTATATAGTTTTGAACAGTCTTCCAAATCATATCCCATTGAATTAGCCTTGGTGAGTTTATTATACCCCGCAATTTTGAAGCGGGTGTTATAGTGAACCGTTCGTCCCGCTTTTTGTCTCCACTGCTGCAGGCATCGGTTTCCAGTACCACATGAAACAATTTTGTGAAACTTTCACAGAATATTCACCGACTCTCTTCTCCCCTATAACTATTGAGCCCAAGTGCATCTTCAATAATGGCCACTCTCCAACATTGTAGACTATAATATACTAGTAATTCATGACTAAAATCTCGTATTGCTGATATTTTTTGTTGAGATTCACTTTATCTGCTATAGTTTTTGCCCAAACCACAAAAATGGAAAAAATCATCATTCAAGGACAGTTACTCCTACAAGAGCAATTTTGACAATCTTGACCCATTTGTCGATCTTGTCTTGCTGATTTCCTTTAGAGTTTATAGTTTCTCTCGGTCTTTCACAGTTTTTGCACAAAACACAAAAAAAAACCTGTAAGACAGCGTCATTAAAGTGCCGCGAATAACTCCTATAAGGATTCAACTGAAAATTTCGGCTGTGTTGACCTACGTTGTCATTTTTTTTTAATTGTGCCTAATTGTCTTGAAAAGAATAACAGATAGAGAGAAACTTTAAATACCAAAAATGATCAGCAAGACAAAATTTACAAATTCAATATAGCTGAAATCGTCAGATGACTCATTATTGAAGTTATTGCCCTCCCTCCCCCCCCCTTTTTATCGGGAAAACTATAATAAAAAGATCGATATTTTCCAAGCATAAAGGATCAGCAGGACAAGATCTTTAAAAATGTCTCATGGCTGAAATTGTCAGTCAACTCTTCATAGGAGTTATTGCCCTTTAATGTTGATTTTGATTTTAATTTTTAGGAAAAACTTTGGGGGATAAAGAAAAACTGTAAACAGCAAAAATGGTCAACCTTTAGGAAATTGCCTGTCGATTCCTTACAGGAGTTATTTGTCAATTTTTACCCTTTTTCATTTTTGGGCAAAACTTATAGAAGATACAGAAACTGTAAATGGTAAAAATTTTCAGAACACAATGTACCAAAAAGAGATTTTAGTTATGAATTAAACATATGTTCTAGTCTACAATGTTAGAGAGTGGCCATTGTTGAAGATACATATAGATGAGAAACAAAAGCTCTGAAGAGCTTCTAGATATTTGTCATTTAGGGAATATAGTTTTGATGGCAGATCCTTTTAAGTCTTTTTTTAATTGATTCACTACCTTGCTAGACTTTTACAGCTTTTACACAAAATATTCCCACTTGTCTTTTGTTGAAGATCATAGATGACCACTACATGTAGTTTGCTTTTTGGTATTGTTGCATTGCTTTCTCATATGTTTATACATCAGAATTCCCTTGCTCCTTTATAAAATGAACTCATGGGCTGTTTTCTGCTCTTCTGGTCGGGTTGTTGTCTCTTTGACACATTCCCCATTTCCATTCACAATTTTATCACAAGGTGTAATGAATAGAAATACAATTCTACATACCTTGTTTACAACAAAAGCAAGCCACAACTATGAAAGAACTCAACAGCTCACAAAATCCAGTATACAAATGTAGATGCACATTTGAATATCCTTAACAGGATCTGACATTCATTCAGTTTCAGGAAGACAAATTACTTCATGACAAAGTAATCAGGTGAACAAGACAGGTGTTGGATACAACAGTTTTTCCAAAGGGGTATAATTCTACAAAAACTATTGACACATAGATATGTCTTGCCTTTACCGGTATATAACTTCGATAGTATAATGCAAATGTTGAAAACAGAAAAGCAGAAAACAGCTGAAGGCCACCAATGGGTCTTCAACAAAGCGAGAAAATCCCGCACCCGGAGGCGGGCTTCAGCTGGCCCCTACACAAAACTGTGTACCAGTTCAATGAAAATGGACGTCACACTAAACTCCAAAACATATAAATGAACTAAAATTGAAAAAAACATACAAGACTAACAAAGGCCAGAGGCTCCTGACTTGGGACAGGCACAAAATGTGGCGATGTTAAACATGTTTTGTGAGATCTCAACCCTCCCCCTATATCTCTAGCCAATGTAGAATAAACAAACACACAGCAATACGTACATAAAACTCAGTTTAAAAGAAGTCCGAGTCCGATGTCAGAATAGGTAACAAAAGAAACTAAGCAAAATGACAATGATACATAAGTTAACAAAGGACTACTAGCAGTTACTGACATGCCAGCTCCAGACCTCAATTTAACTGATTGAAAGATTATGTCTTCATCATATGTAAATCAAGCACAATCCCTCCTGTTAGGGGTTTAGTATCATACCATCATAAAAATATGGGAAGAACATAACCCATATCATGCCAACAACTGGTTTTAGAATAAATTTATTTATTTCCGATGCAAAGACCCCAAGTATTGAGTGAATCAATATTAATACCAAATTATGTCATATTTAATGACCCGACAACAGTATCGTAACTATATCCCTTCTGAATAAGTCTGTTTAAAGGTTTAGTTAGCTTTTGAGGTGAATGTCGACATTTTTGTGCTTTGTATTGAATATTACCATAAAAGATTGGATGTGAAATACCTGAACTATAAGATGTCTGAATGTTGATTTATATTTATGTCCTTGTACCGATGATAAAATTTAGTAAATGTTTTGACTAGTTTGTGATATTGAAAACCCTGGTGTAATAATTTTTCAGTAATACAGAGGTTTCTTTCATTAAAACCAAATATATTGTTACATACATGAGCGAATCGAACAAGTTGAGATATATAAACACCATAAGATGGTGACAAGGGAATGTCACCATCTAAAAATGGATAATTAACAATGGGAAATGAAAAATCATCTCTTTTATCATAAATTTTGGTATTAAGCTTCCCATTAAAGATATAGATATCAAGATCCAGGAAAGGGCAGTGTTCATTGTTAGTATTAGCTTTATTTAAAGTCAGTTCAGCAGGATAAATCTCTTTAGTGTACATACTGAAGTCGTCATTATTGAGAGCCAATATATCATCCAAATATCTAAAAGTGTTATTAAACTTTTGTATCAGATGCTGTTTCGATGGGTCTTTGCTGATTTTATTCATAAATTGTAACTCATTACAATACAGAAACAGGTCCGCAACAAGTGGTGCACAGTTAGTCCCCATTGGAATTCGGATAACTTGACGATATAAGGAATCTCCATAGCGAACAAAAATATTATCTAGTAAAAATTCAAGGGCAGTTATCGTATCGAAGCAGGTCCAATTGACATAGTTCTTTTGTCTGTTGTTACTAAAAATATAGTAATACTTTAACATGTTTACTATGCAAATGTTTCAAAATCAATGAACCATGGTGAGGGAGCAGGGGCCATATAATCTCCAAGGAAATGAGAGATGCAAATGATAATACTTCTACATACCAAATATCATTGACTTACCATTAGTGGTTCATCTCAGCTAACCTAATCACAAACTTTAAGATGTAAACTATGCAAAAATTTCAGTCAATAGTCCATGACTGAGGGGCAGGGCCAAAAAATCTCCATGGAAATGAGATGTCCAATATTTATACAACTAGATATAAGAAGATGTGGTATGAGTGCCAATGAGACAACTCTCCATCCAAGTCAAAATTTATAAAAGTAAACCATTATAGGTCACAGTACGGTCTTCAACACGGAGCCTTGGCTCACACCGAACAGTAAGCTATAAAGGGCCCCAAAAAATTACTGTGTAAAACCATTCAAACGGGAAAACCAACGGTCTAATCTATATAAAAAACGAGAAACGAGAAACACTTATGAACCACATCAACAAACGACAACTACTGAACATCAGATTCCTGACTTAGGACAGGTGCAAACAAATGCAACGGGTTTAAACGTTTTAATGGTACCAAACCTTCACCCTTTTTCGGAAACAATAGTGTAACATCACAACATAGAAAGACACACTATAAAATATCAACTGAAATAGCTTAACTCAATCAAAGGACATATTAACACCATTGAACATACACTGAACAAATAAATTTGACCTATGACACAATGTAAATACAAAATAAATAAACTAAGGGAAGAATAATAAAAGTAACATGTAATATCGGTAAGAAATGTTAAACAATAAAAGAAAAACAATATGCTCGAACAAAAATACCATCCATTTGCAATAACTTTAAACACAGGTAAATGAAAATAATTTTGTTGCATACCAAATCATGTAAACTATGCAAAAGTTTCAAAGTCAATAGACAATTGCAATCTATCTGTGAAGGGACAGGGTCAACATATTTCCATGGAAATGAGATGTTGCAATGCTGATACAACTGCATACCAAATAGCATTCGACCAACCACTAGTGGTTCCCCTTAAACTGAACTAATCACAAACTTTAACATGTAAACTGAGCAAAAGTTTCAGTCAATAAATCATGACTGAGATGGTGGGATCAAATAATCTCCATGGAAATGAGATGTGTAATTGCTAATACATGTACAACTGCATACCAAATATCATTGGCTTACCACTAGTGGTTCGTCTTAAACTGACTTAATCACAAGCTCATACATTGTTGATGCCGCTGCCGAACCCAGAAAAAGCATTTCTAGGTCTAGATTTTTCTATTTAGTCAAGGCTAGACAAAAATCATATCATACCATATGCACAAGTAAACAAAAATTTCTATATTTCTGTGTTACGATTAAGAAAAATAAGAAAATAAACCATACAAATGGGTTGAAACTGATGAGATGGTTTGACAAAATGTTCTCCCTTCCATTTCTATAATAACTCTGGATAAACTAAATATCTTATATACACGCAGATCTGAATTATAGCACATATACAGTTCATAAAATTTTCAGTGAAGTTATCAATCTGCACTGTAGAAACAACATATTTCAAATACTTGTCATACTTAAATAAGTGTTAAACAAAATACAAATTTACTATTTTGTAGAATTTGTCAAAACCACAAAAACATTGTATACACCAAAATACAATTTTTCCTCCACCCATGAAAATTGGTGTGCATGTATATAAGTGCATCTACATTCTACAGTATAACAATTTCATGAAGCCAGTTATCAACTTCATTTGTATTTAATAAGAAAATCTACATATATAAAAACAGTAAATGAATCACAGATGGCTTGGAATCTAAACTAGACTTTCATCAATCACAACTTCCATCTTTCCAACCATCTCTCCATCGTTCATTTACTTTACTGCAATCGAAAATTGGCTTTCCTAACTTTTTGTTTACATCATTATGTAACCTACACAACCATTGGGAGAAATTGAGTTGATTTGAGGTATCTGGAGTATTTGTCTTCAAACTGAAAGTAAAACTATTAATTAGAACATAGATCTGTTATTTCAAGTTCAAAGTAAAATTAATTTACACCTTTACTATTTGACTGAGTAATAAGTACATAAGTTTGCTTATTTCTTTATAGGATACCCATGAAATCTGTACAACTATTGTAAATATTGAAACTGGTTCTTCAGTCATCTTTTTGTTACCCGTTTTGTGATTTAATTGACTAATGATGAGAACTGTTATATATTATTTACTTCTATAGCCTTTTGTTTGGCCTTTTAAAGCTTACTGTACAGATAGAATTTGCTGAATTTGCTCATTGTTAAATACAGTAAGGTAAACTTTTGTTGTTTTACTTCCATGTCATTGGGTATTGACTCTCAGTGGACAGTTGTCTCCTTACCATTATTTCATTGTAACTTGTGACATTATGTTAAAAATATAAAAAGATTTTGTTAAGATATACATGTATCTCAATTGTCACATTGAAACAAACAAATATCCTAATTTTAAGGCAGCTAAGGGAATTAACTCTTGAACAGTACATGTTTATGTAAAACCAACAAAATGACACTGTATTCTAAACTACATGACAATGTGTTCAAATTTCAAGATTTGGTGCAGCATTACTTTAATTATCATATGGAAGTTTAAAGTGTGAAGGACAAACAGATGAACATGTGTATCACAATATCACTATAAAACATATTGGATATATATGCACTTACTTATCTCTCAAATCTTCAGCACAATATTCACAGGGATAAAATTTAGAGAAGAGATGTATGAATTGTTTCATGTCAGATTGTTGTTCTGTTGTTGGATTATCTGGGTATAAAGCAGCTGTAGTATGCAGGAATGACCAGGTGTTCCTTCCCAATTCATCTCCATATAATGGACATTCCTTGGTTACAGGTTTTCTTCTCCTTCTTGGACCCCCTTCCTATGTAAAATAAAATAATCCAATATATTCTAGATGGAAAATTTAAATCTTATTTGATGATCAACCATAACTTATATGTTTAAAATATATATGAACAAAAACTGGCCTCATGTTTTTAAGTAAATTGGAAAGGTTCTAAATTTTACATTTTTTTTTATTATTATTCAGTAATAAGCAATCATCAGGTATTCAAACCATTCTAATGCTTATAGCAATACATTACACACAAGGTGATGATTTAAAAATCACTAATGTGGATGGTGTCGAGTGAATCAATATGAAACACTGCTGGTGATAAAAGGTAATAACAATCTGAAAAACAACACTCACTGTTGCATCAAAGGAGTAGGCCAAGTAAGACCCCTTTTTGGCCCCAAAATGTAGCATTTTTACAAATTTGTTAGAAATGTAAACTTTTAGCCATTTATTGGAAAGTAGAATGCTTTCATTACATAAATATGAGCTGTTTTTGACAATACATTGCACATGCATAAGGTACTAGCATCATTTAATCATGCAAAGTTACTGAAATCTTCAGTACTAATGAACTAAAATAAAAAAAAACATACAAGACTAACAAAGGCCAGAGGCTCCTTACTTGGGACAGGCGCAAAAATGCGGCAGGGTTAAACATGTTTTTTGAGATCTCAACCCTCCCCCTATATCTCTAGCCATTGTAGAATAAACAAACACACAGCAATACGCACAGTAAAACTCAGTTTAAAAGAAGTCGGAGTCCAATGTCAGAATAGGTAACAAAAGAAACTAAGCAAAATGACAATGATACATAAATTAACAAAGGACTACTAGCAGTTACTGACATGCCAGCTCCAGACTTAAATTAAACTGATTGAAAGCTTATGTCTTTGTCATATGAAAATCAAGCACAATCCCTCCCATTAGGGGTTTAGTATCATACCATCATAAAACATATGAGAAGAACATAACCTGTATCATGCCAACAACTGGTTTTAGAACAAATGTGTTTATTTCCGATGCAAAGACCCTATGAGTGAATCAATATTAATACCAAAATATGCCATTTTCAATGACCTGACAACAGTATCATAACTATATCCCTTCTGTATAAGTCTGTTTAAGGTTCATCATAACAAATGGACAAAATGGCTGCATTTACACCTCAAAAACTACTCTGAGTACAGACTAACCTGTCCAGTTGGAAAAGTTTTAAGGCCTGGCATCCACTAGATATATAAAAGTTAAATGCATTTTGTGTTTCAGAAAGATAAAATCTTTTTTAAATTTTAATGGGCATTTTTTTTTCGTTCCTGCAGAAGGTGATCATTGTTGTGCTTGGTAAAGAATATTATTTTACCATAAAAGATTGGATGTGAAATACCTGAATGCAGGGTCTTTATTAGATTGCATTAATGCAATATATAAAATCATGATAACCAGTTTAATAACCATCCTTAGCCTGAATGTGTTGTCTCATTGGCAATCATACCACATCTTTTTTATATATGCTTGTGATTTCTAATACCCATTGGAATTCACTTGGCTACATAGGTATAATTATGGCTGCTGATTATCTGATTAAAATCCTTGAAACAATTAAAAAATAAAAGGTTCAAGGATCTCAGTTGTGAGATGAAATTTAAAAACAATATATATATATCTATATATGAAGCTAATTTGTTTAGCAAAATATAATATTGCGTGAACATATAAAATATAACAACTATTTTTCTAACACTCATTAGTGTGTTAAAGTTACATTCTTAGGCATTGATATAATTTGATTTAGTAACTACATCAGTTTATTTTCAAACTGATCCACACCTAGATAGATTGATCAATTATGATTGTTGCTAATTTTAGACAATATAAATGTATCCTCGTCTCATGGGTTTTTCGTGCTATAAATAATGCATTGTGACGTCACAATTTCCATTGAAAAAGCATGCATAGTACGAATTCATATGACGTATGAAAACACATGATCTGACCTTTCATTTTGTCTTTTTTAAAGTTTTGTCTCATACCTGTGGTTGATACACCTTATCGCTATTTAGTCCAATCCGGAAAAAACAGTCATTTAGACAACTTCCTGTTTGGGTCAACAGGCCGCAAACAAAGGTCATCAGTAACGAGCTGAGGGAGGGAAAAATTTAGAAAGCGATCAATAGGAAACTTTGATAGATTATGATCCACTTTTTCCAAACTCAAATTAAAGTCAAAAAAATATTGTGTTTGAAGTATTTACGATGTTTTAAACAGGTCTCATTAAAAAGTATCATGCATGGTGCATTGTTTAAACAGGGTCCCAGATAGCGTCAACTGGATGAAAAAGTTGTGTAATTTTAGAACTTATCCGAAATGGAATAAATAGCGATTAGGTGTATTATGCAAAATTATTTGTACTGTCTTTTATAAATTTTGTTGAAAAATGACTGTTTCCAATTCCGAAAAAAAATCAGAAAATCGCTCCGGACACAGAATCCCAAAAGGGATTACTGAAGGGTTGTGTCCGACCTGATGAAATAAATTATGCCGACATTACGTCAGACAATCATATAATCATACATTTTTACAAAAACATGTATATTGACCAACATGAGTATTTCCTAAAAAAAATACAACAAAAGTATAACCTTTTCTGTCCCTCCTGTCCCCTTGAACCAAGTTTCAACGTCTACACATGTTCGACAAGGTTTTTTGTCTGGATCAACAAACATTCCACTGGAGGCTGACATGTTGGGTGCGCTTTATTTACAACGGTAGAGCTAATTTATGATCAGTAACTTCGATCCCGTATAGAACGCAAGTATTTCAATGCTATCCCTTACATTTGCTCTTTAAAATATTCTTTCTTTGTATAATGATTTCGCTTTCAGTTTATTGTTATTTTCGAATACGTTGTCTTCTTCCTGGTACGGGAAAGACTCCGGTGTATTGATATATCCTATGGTTCTGGCGACACACATCAAACCTAAAACATTTGACAATTTTGTAAGTGCCAATATAGTGACAAATTCAGTGAAGAACAATACGAAGGCAATAGATACTGTTCCTTACAACACCGATCAATATAAGAACTCTTTCTTTGTCAAGAGCATACTACATTGGAACCGCCAACTGGAAGACAGTATCGTATGCGCAGATACAGTTGAGAGCTTCAAGGCTGCTCTCCAACACCGTCATATAGGTAGTGTCTCTCTCCCGTTGAGCAAAAGCCAGAATTGGCATCTTCAACTTACTCATACAGATACAGATACAGATACATCATTTGCATAGTCGGCTAGTATCATATGCTTTAGATCGAACTCATCTGTCACCATGTTAATTAATTAAAATTAATTAAAACCTATCAATTTAAACGTAGATGGTACTTAGTTTATTCGAGGACATCTGTACTTCATGGGTGCATGACAGTTTATCACCTCAGAGAATTTAGTTTGAAAATCATTATATACTGAGTTTATATTATACAATAGACGTATTTACACTTGTATGCAAATTTGTCCGCCATTACGTAAAATCACACAGGTTCCCGTAAACTTTGACATCATAATTCAAAACATTTGACGTCACAATTAAAAAGTGATTGTTGCTTGACGTCAATAGGTGATTCGGAGTAGATCTAAGGTCATTCGGAGGCAAAATATAGCTAAATAACAACAATGTAAATACGTTTATTATTGACTTTTGATGAGGTTGATACAATGATTTATCAACACCAGAGATATGATATTCACCGAGACCAACGGCCGAGGGTGAATGTTATATCTCTGCGGTTGATAAATCATTGTATCAACTGAAATCAAAAATCAACAATTGTTTTATTATATGACTTGTTATCCTTCTCCAATTTTGTACCAGTGGCGGATCCAGAAATTTTCATAAGTGGGGGCCCACTGACTGCCTAAGAGGGGGCCCGCTCCAGTCATGCTTCGATGATTCCCTATATAATAAACCAAATTTTTCCCCAAAAAGGGGGGGGGGGGGGGGCGGGCCCCCTGGGCCCCCCCTAAATCCGCCTCTGTGTACTATTTGCTCAAGATAATTTTAAAACTGCTCCCTGTTTTTACACTAAATATATCATCTTCTTTTGCAGTTGCTAATTTTCATAAGTTGAAATATTCTATAAAGTTTACTAAAAAATACACCGAAAACAAAAAGAAGAGAAAAAATTCACCGAAAACATGAAGAAAAAGAAAAAAAAAACGGGAATTTACATGACTTCATAAACCTACGTCATAGACGTTGCCTAATTGGAATATCCATATTTAGGTACACGGACGCTGTTCCAAATCTCGTGATTTTTGACGCGGTGAATATAATGTTTTATGAAAGAGAAAATGTATAGTCATATAATAATATATTATATACATTAATCTGAATCATGTAAAAATAATAGATCAACATCAACCAAACATTAACGGTTTTAAAACTTCTATATTGTATCTTGCTCAAGTTGCTGTTAACACTGTCTACCACATGCCATTCTTTTTTAAAAGTAAATTATCTGACTATGGCCTCTCTTCACAATCAGTGAAATTACTTCAAACTCATATCTAACAGGTCATAGGCAACAAATCAAACTTCATGGAGCACCAAGCCTCAATCATGTGACCTTTTATTTATTTGATATTTCATAAATGACATATTTTATTTCATTGAACATGGAACCCTATTTAACAAGTCTGACGGTAATACTCTGCCATATGCTGCTGATGATTTTTGAAAATGTATTATGTATACTTGAAAAAGAAAGTTATGTTTTAATATATAGTTTTTAATTTAATTATATACAGGTAAATCCTGATAAATTCCAGGCCATTGCAGTTGGAAATAAATCATTTATTTTGAAACCACTGTATTGTATATAAATGTTTTGTAAATAGATGCATATTCATGTACATATTTTGCACTCTCTCTGTACCTATGTATCTGCAATGGTTATGAGAATAAAGATATATGAGAAGAAGCCTTGTTTTCAATATATGCAGTCAGCTAAAATATCATGTGATGAGATTGTGAAACTTTTATGTACTGATATATTGATACTGATTATCAACTGAATTTTAATCACCACATTTAATATATTTGTTATATTTCCTATCATGTTAATTGGAGATTTTATAGATATATTTTGAAATTCCAATAACATATTTGTCGTAAAGCCTCTCAACAACTGAATGCCAGTTTTAAAGCGCATTGGTTGCCATCTTACAAAATTTAATAAATTGACATTTTTTCACACATTTATTTCATCTAATTTTAATTTTTGTCATTTGTGAGCGGCATTTTTTCAACAGAATAAATACCATTAAATTAGAAAAAAATCAAGAAAGGGCTTCACGATTATCTGGGAATAATATACTGACAATATATTATGTCCAATGATTTATATATGATGACTATGTCAATACATATGATCAGAAGTCCATTACTTTAGAGGGGTCTAAATGCAGCACAAACAACATTTTCCAAATGACCAAAAAAAGTGAAAAAGTATATTTTAACAAAACGCATTTGAGTAACAGGTCGAACAACAAATTTTCTTAATCCTGGTGACTGCCATTGACGATTGCCAAATAAACGGATCACCGATGTAATAAATGGATCTTAATTATAAATTTAATACTAAACAGAAAACAATAAACTTGCGGAAAAGATGGTATACCGCAAACAAAAGGTGCAAAGGTTTTTGTACACCATATCCGGATTTCGACAATTAATGTCTCTTCAGTGATGTTAGGAATCAAAAGGGTATTTGGAAAGCCATACAATTTACCTCAATTTAGGATAGACTCTTGAATTTTGAGGAGTCAAAATAGGATGAACGGATCATATAAACCCGAAGGAAAATATAATACAAGCCCAAACGAAAAAATATAAACAAGTCTAAATTGAAAACAACGTTGAAACCTATGATTGCGTTGGATAAAAACCGCAATTTTTATATGTGTGCATGCAAAACAAATTTCTTGGTAGAGGGGTCTAAATACAGCACAAACAACATTTTCCAAAAGACCAAAAAGTGAAAAAGTATATTTTTACAAAACACATTTGACTAATATATAACAGGTCGAACAACTGACGTTCTTAAACCCTGCTGACTGCCATGGCATTGCCAAATAAACGTATCACAAGATGTAACAAAATGGATCTTAATTATTAATTTAATACCAAACAGAATATATATCTATACGTGTATAACTGTTTTGTATATACAGCTTCTGTTTTATGGAATGATCCACCCAATGATTGTAAAAAAAATGATAATTTCTGTCAGTTTAAAAGTATTTTTAACGTCAGGGAATGGAAATGACTGTAAGTGCACAGTTTGTGCAGATTATTACTACACATTTTGTAAGTTTTTAACCTATTTCAGATCATATGCTATCTTTAATCTTTTATGCCATGCATTTTACCAGGTTTCTAATAATGCTAATTTTACGTTTTTTATTACCGAAAAAATACATGTAAGACACAATGCAAACACAACGCTGTTATTAAAGCATAAAGGACACAAACCATTTATTTCCTGCGTTGTGATGGCAAAGATGAATTAATTATAAGTCAAATAAGATAAACATAATAATACACATTATATGCATGCACGACTTAGAACTAAGATAAGCAGCACTACTGTCAATCAAGCACTACTATAAATCAACCAATCAAATCAAATAAATAAGCTTTATTTAGAGACCGCACAGTTTACAAAACAAGCACATACCATCTTTTGACAGAACGTATACTGAGAGGCATTAGCTACGATTTTGCCTGACTCAAAATTAAAATACGATTTTCTTTGTTTCAAACGTTTATAAAATGGGAATTGTGAAATAATATTTCACTATTAGCCGTCAGTGTTATCTAATTCTGTCAAAAAGCTCCAACACATCGGTAATGTATTATTGACTTGCAAGACAATAATTCAACTCATTTGAATGAGTATTCATCCGAACTTCAATTTAACCCTCAGCTGGGGATGGGTTATACTCATGTGCCAAGCACGTTTAATAATTAAAAAGAAAAAAATGTCAACATTGGAAAGTGGATCCAGGGAGTCATGGGGAAGATACATTTCATTAACGGATTCTCCTCTAAAAAAAACATTCGTATTCAGGTAAAACGATGATTTACATGTTCTTTTAATTAATGACATGAAATCAAACAGACCTAGAAGTATACGATGGCACGTGCCTGTCTGTGTATTTATATTTAGGTTTATGTTTATATCGAGTCGTATGACAATCGACATTCTTCGGAGGTCATCACGATGGTTAATTACTAGTAGATGGCGTCTAGTCTAAAAAAAACCACACGAAATGCTAATCCATATAACGAGTCCATGCATTGCAAATTATTTCTTTTGAAGATTTTGTGATATGCAATTTTGATATGTTAATAATCATATATGAAAATTTAAGTCAAATCGGTGATCATGAATCTGACAACTATAATGCCCCTGTATGTAAACGATTAATTATTCCTGGGAATATGTGTCCAGGCGGAGACAAATTGCAAGCACAAACGTCCATGGTTACATAATTTGATAGTATTAATAGTCCGATGTCACGGTAAATTAATGACCACTGGTAAATTGTCCTAGGTATTTATGTCCATGTCTTTTTTTTAATAGGGAAATTCTTTGTACTGAAAGAAATCATTTACATGTAAACAATGGAATGTTTAATCGTTATGTTTCAATATTTTGTTAACAGCTGTACATAAATCTTTCATTATTTTATTCTGAGACTTCTATATATGTGTTACAGTAGTCTCTGTTTTATCAAGAATTTGTATAGTAATCCTTGATTTCATTAAAAATATGCCGGGATGATTTTTAAAATATTACACTGGACGTTTTTTCTTGGCCGGAAAATTGATGTAACGGACTTCTATATTGTTTATGACTACAGTTTTTGTCGAGCCTGCGACTTCTGGATGCTTTATACTTTGTATATACATGTAGATGCCTTATGTTAAAAAGTTTCCGTCTGTCATATTTCCATTGTCCTTGACATCATTTTCATGGTTCAGTGACTACTTGAAAAAGTAAATATTTTTTGGAATGTTAATTTCTCTCTTATTATGAGTAATAGGATAGCTATATTAAGTATGTGCGTACCTTGCAAGGTCCTCATGCCTGTCAGATAGTTTTCACTTGACCTCGACCTCATTTCATGGATCAGTGAACAAGGTTAAGTTTTCTTGGTCAAGTCCATGCATGTCTCAGATACTATAAGCAATAGGTCTACTGCATTTGTCGCACAGAATGATTGTGAGATGTACATGTCCAACTGGCAGGTGTCATCTGACCTTGACCTCATTTTCATGGTTCAGTGGGTTAAGTAAAAAAAATTTGTGTTTTGGTCTGTTTTTCTAATACTGTATGCAATAGGTCAACTATATTTGGTGTATCGGAAAATATTTTACAATGTACATGTCAGTCTGGCAGGTTTTATTTGACCTTGACCTCATTTTCACAGTTCATCGTTTTGTGTTTTGGTCTGTTTTTATTAAACTATGAGCAATAGGTCAACTTTATTTTACTTTTAATAAAATAATAATCATACAAATCTGAGACTATTATACTAACAATATATTATGTCCCAGTCTCTTTACTATTATTATTATTATATGACATGACGACTTTGAATACAATGATTTGGTCTATAAATCGGGTTACACGTATTTAATTTAGCACTAATATAAACAAATGTTCCTCGAGTAATATTTGAACGCGTCTCAAAACTTAAAGGGAAATAATCCATGTTGCTTTGACATTGAAAACTTAGAAAGCAGCAACATGAGCCACTTTCCTAAATATATGAGAACTGGTTACTATAGAAAGGGAACATCAAGTAAGCACTTTAAAGAGTTTAATATGAATTTCCTAAATGCATAGTGATAAAAATGAAGCATGTGTTACTTTTATAAAACTAGAAAATGGGGGAAATTTATAAGTGATTAAGTCAGTATTTTGATACCATTTTTCATGTACTGGACAAATGCCCTGTCCAGCCTCAAAATAAAAATTATGTATTGTGTCATTTTTCCTGTGTTACATATTTCAGCGTACATGTAATTACTAAAATAGAAGTAAGGTTTTCATAAGCTAATAGAATCTGTTGACTGTTGTGCTGATATAATAAAATAAGGTAACAAGTAGTCCAAATAATTATGACATCTTGAAAGGCTATTGTATTTTTTTGCTGTAAAAAATTTAAATAACCTTCAAGACGTCATAGTTACTCCGACAGTTAACAGGTTGCTTCATCTGATTTCTGTCGCCATTCCTGTTTCAAGTGTTTGATGCAAGATGTTTCGGCCACACTTGCCAGTTCGGCCCTAGTTATTTTGGCCATGGGTTTTATTTTTTATAAAGGGAGGGAAATATAGTTGTTTAAGAAACAGACATTAAGAAAAAATTGGAAAAATACATTTTAATCATGTATGTACAATGATGTATTTCCTAGAACAACTATGCAATTTACTTAAAAGACGGAGCTACATGTACTCAAATAACTTTCTTGTATTTTTGTACGACCAAACGTGATTTTTCATAACTCAACAATGCAAATTAATGCCATATATCTGGGATGTGAGGCTTGCAGCTATCTGCGCTGCTCCTTACTTCTTACTTATTAAATAGACCAGGCTAACAGCTAAATGATCTGAACACTGGGATGCTAAAGGCCAAATTGTAAACACAGCAAAAACTCATGAACTTGACCTTGCTCCAGTATTTATACATAATTTACCAGAAGTATAATATTGACAGAACATTAACTTTTGAACAATACATCATTACATGACAAAGTTGCTCCATATTTGATGTAAACGATACAGCTGGCAATAATAACTTAAAGTTAAAGTGAAACGTATGTTATTTGCTCATTAAAATATTAACTATGAATAACTTATACATTTTTGTACAAACTCTCCAAAGAAACATGTAACAATATTTCATTACTTGGGAATCATCAGTGCACACATTTACAACACATTCATAGATATATTCTTAAAGGGGGTCTCTTTAGGGGGGTCTGATCCCAGATCCCGCTTATGATTTTGTGATAATAGTGCTTGTAATTTCATGTGTACCTCTGGTCTTTGTTTCCTGTTTCCAGCCCCCCAAAAAAGAAACAGAAAATATGAAATTGACCTTAAAAGTAAAATAAATAAGGATCCCCACCATCCAGACCCTCTTTTATGATTGTTTCTGCAATTGAGGCAAGGGGATTTTGTACATAGATGTACATGATGTATGCATTTGATATTTGATATAAAAATGAAATGATTTTCACAATTAAATGAGTAGTGTTTTATGGTTTTTCCTAGCACCTGTCTGTATTTGATAAGCTTTTATTTCTTTCCCCAGTTTTACAGGAATTAAAAAAGAGCTTCACATATAATTGGGAATGGCAGATGTGTTTTACAGTATTTGGACTCAGTAAGTTTTTATTTTAGTAGTTACAGATTATTGGTAATCATGGTAATAAATGTAAGTTGACAACCTTTCATATTTGTTTTAATGTCATCTTTACATTCAGAAAAAAATCATACTGGCATGTTAGGCCATTGGAAAATGATTGTTGGTTTTCCCTAAAATGTGAAAATTATTAAGGCCTGACAGGCAGGAAAAACGTTTTATTTTTTAAATTTTTTGCTATACAGAGGATGTTGTTATTCATGTTACTAACCGGACAGTAAGTTCTTGTTTTACATTCTATCTTGTGGTACATGTATAAGCTATGTAAACTAAAGGAATGATAACTGTGCAGTGTTGACACACTTTAAAGAGATTGCCGGACAGTTTTAAAAAGCATCAATAAAAATTGTCAAAAGAAACCAGAGCAACACTTTATTTTCATCTGCAAAAAAAAAAGAAGAAAAGAAAAAAAAATTGACCCGGAGAGTAAAAACTGAACTGGCAGGGTTAGGGGAAACCAACAATAATTTTTGCATAACCTAATACAAACATATTTGATTCTATTTCAGAAATTATCATTTCTGTTTCAGAAATACAAAGAACACCAACTGAGAAAAAATCCATGATTTGGAATTATTAATGTAGTCAGATTTTGATCGTTTTTATACTTCAGATTTCTGGCAAAATTCCTTTATGGGTTTTGAATTGTCAGATTTAAAATTTATTTTTGATACATAATAAAAGGTTCAGGAGAATTGAAATGAGGAGTAGATCCCGAAAAAGTAAGCCAGAAGATCCTGAAAAAGTAAGCCAAATATAGATGATGATAAATCATGAAATTCTATGGAAAGCCTGCTTTTTTAGGGGTACACAGATTTATTGTCTCATCTAATACAAATAAGTTTTCCTAGTCAGTTAAAATATAAGTAGCGAATATTACTTTTTAAATAACTGGATTGGCAACTTGAAAGAAAAATTATGAAATGCCTGGATCAAAAGTTAGAAAACTTTATAATTACCTGAATGTAACTTTCAAACATGGCCGCAATGGTCAGCAAACTTATTGCAGCTGTGAAATGAAAACTTTTACCCATTTTTTAATTTTCTCCTCGGAAACTACTTGGCCACAATCATTATTGGGTATCTAGTTTGAAAAAAATGTATCTGATGACCCTGCCTGTCAATCAAGATGGTCAACATGGCTAAAAATAGAATATATGGGTAAAATGCAAGTTTTGTCTATTATCTTGAAAACCGCTATGAAGAGAGAAAATCTGATGAGCTTAAATGTTGAGATGCTGTCCATTTATTTTGAAACTGTAAGATGACTTCTTATAGGAGTTATAGCCCTTAAATTTTAAATTTTATCAATTTTTTTCATTTTTGTCTATTCTTTTGAAAACTATTATAAATACTGTGAAATTTTCATTAGGAAAAAGATAAGCAAGACCAGATCTACAAATAAATCAACATGGCTGAAATCATCAGATGACTCCATATTGGGGTTAATGCTCTTTAATGACAATGTTTTTTTGTGTTTTTGCCTTATATCTTAAAAACTATAATATATAGAAATAAACTTTAAAAGCAAAAATTATCAACATGTCAAGATCTACAAACTAGTCAAACATGACCGAAACTGTCAGTTGACTCCTTATTGAAGTTATTGCCCTTAAAATGAAAATTGTTCCCAATTGTTTTTGCATTTTTGCCTATTATTTTGAAAACTTCAGTAGATAGAAAAAAAGTTTAAACAGCAAAAATGATCAAAGACAAGATCTACAAATAAGCCAGGATGTCTGAAATCTAGTTGACTTGTAGTTGGAGTTATTTTGCTTTAAAATAAAAATTTAAAAATCTAAAATTATGTCAACATGACTGAAATTGTGAGTTAATTCTTTATAGAGTTATTGCCCTTTCATGATTTTTACCAAAAAAGGCTATTGTTAAAGATGCAGGTGCACATGAGCGACACAGGTAAAAGGCCTCTAGTTTGGCATTTTCATTTCGCCTGCGACGAAAGTCGTTGATTACGAGACTTAGGGATTGCTTTTCCAGTGATGGATGCGTCAACAATTGTTAACTTTTTGTCTCCTGTGCAACGTGTTGTGGGGGACATAGAAATACTGGGCGTCCGTCCAGTCTTGTTAGCACTCTCACATGTACAATTCTTGCCAGATTTTTATTAAATTTATATCATAGATATGAGAAGATGTGGTATGAGTGCCAATGAGACAACTCTCCATTCAAGTCACAATTTGTAAAAGTAAACCATTATAGGTCATAGGTTTATATTAGCAATGTCTTAGACGAGTTGGAAAATCAGTGCCGATCAATTATTTTTAAAAGAGTTGTGCCCCTTGGAAACATAATAATATGGAAAATTGCATTGTTAGCGCTCTAATGTGTTCAATTCTTGCCAGATTTTTATGAAACTTATATCATAGGTTTATATCAGCAATGTCTTTAATGAGTTCGGAAATCAGTGCAGATCAATTATTTTTAAAAGAGTTATGCCCCTTGGAAACATTAATTATAAGGAAAATTGCATTGTTAGCGCTTTCATATGTTCAGTTCTTGCCAGAATTTTATGAAACTTATATCATAGGTTTATATCAGCAAACTCTTTGACACTTTCTAAAATTAGTTCTGATCAAATATTTTTAATGAGTTATGCCCCTTGTAAATATTATTTATAATGGAAATCACATTGCATTTGCTCTGAAGCCTTCATTTCTCTAAGATATTAATAAAAAGCTTTAAAGAACAAAAAAAAAGTGCTTTTTATGCCCCCGCCGTATCGGAGGGGGCATTAAGTTTTACCCTTGTCCGTCTGTACATTGGTTTCCATTCTCTAACTTTAGTTTGGCTCAACACAATGCTTATTACCACAAAACACAGATCAAGTTTGAATTTTGGTGGCGTCACTTTTACCGTTCTAGAGTTATGCCCCTTTACAAATGGAAAAATTGCTTAATTTTTTATTTCCGTTCTCTAACTTTAGTTTGCCTCCACCAAATGTTATGAAACCTTTACACAATGCTTATTACCACAAAACACAGATCAAATTTGAATTTTGGTGGCATCACTTTTACAGTTCTAGAGTTATGGCCCTTTACAAATGGAAAAATTGCTTAATTTTTTGTTTCCGTTTTCTAACTTTAGTTTGCCTCAACCAAATGTTATGAAACTTTAATATACACAATGCTCATTACCACAAAACACAGATCAAGATTGAATTTTGGTGGCGTTACTTTTACCGTTCTAGAGTTATGCCCCTTTACAAATGGATAAATTGCTGAAATATTCGTTTCCATTCTCTAATTATACGCCCGTTCACGGGACGTATTATGGTATACCGTTGTCTGTCCATCCGTCCGTCGTCAACATGTCGGACATTAACTCAAAAAAGCTTTAACCAATATGCATGAAACTTTGGTGAATTGTTTATATCTATTGACGTGAGCTCCCTTTTGTTTTTTATAAATTTCAGATTTACCGTTCTGAGTTTTGGGGTTTTATTCATTAAAAAAGGGGGGATTTTCCAGTTTTCCGACAATAACTCAAGAATGCTTTCACCAACTTGCAAGAAATTTTGGTGAATTGTTTATATCTATTGACATGAGCTCCCTTTCAATTTTTATAAATTTTAGATTTTACGTTTCCAAGTTACAGGGTTTTATTCATAAAAAAGGGTGATTTTCTAGTTTTCGGACAATAACTAAAAAATGCTTTCAGCAGTTCTCATGAAACTTTGGTGAATTGTTTATATCTGTTGATGTAAGGTCCCTTTAGAATTTTATAAATTTTAGATTTTACATTTCTGAGTTATGGGGTTTTATTCATTAAAAAAGGATGGATTTTCCAGTTTTTGGACAATAACTCAAAAATGCTTTCAGCAGTTCTCATGAAACTTTGGTGAATTATTTATAGCTATTGATGTAATCTCCCTATTGATTTTCATAAATTTCAAATATGACATTGAGAAGAAATTGAACTTCATTTGTTTATAGTCTGACAACAGATTTACTAAGTATTTCGCAACAGCACAGTGTATTGCACAACAGCAAGAAATCTTTAATTGAATATAAATTCAATTCATATAACCAATTTCAAATTCTTTGACTCCATTTACTCAGAAACCTATAATATGTCAAATATCTAATTACAATCCAAATTCAGACCTGTATCAAGCTTGAATATTGTGTCCATTTTTGCCCCAACTGTTCAGGGTTGGACCTCTGCGGGCGTATCCAGCTGCACTCAGCGAAGCAGTTTATTTTAGTTTGCCTCAACCAAATGTTATGAAACTTATACACAATGCTTATTACCACAAAACACAGATCAAGTTTGAATTTTGGTGGCGTCACTTTTACCGTTCTAGAGTTATGTCCCTTTACAAATGGAAAAATTGCTGAAATATTCGTTTCCATTCTCTAATTTTAGTTTGCCTCAACCAAATGTTATGAAACTTATACACAATGCTCATTACCACAAAACACAGATTAAGGTCGAATTTAGGTGGCTTCACTTTTACCGGTCTAGAGTAATGCCACTTTACAAATGGAAAAATTGCCTCAATTAAATGTTATGAAACTTATCAACAATGCTTATTACCACAAAACTCAGATCAAGTTTGGGTAGTGTCACTTTTACAGTTCTTGAGTTATGTCCCTTTATAAAGTTATATGCAAGCAGGGGCATCATCTGTGTCCCATGGACACATTCCCCATTTATTTTAGTTATTGCCCTTGTACTTTGGATAGATAAAATATGTGCAACGCGGGGGACATTGGAACTTTGTTCTCTTATCTGCTTAAGATAGTTTGAAAGGAACTAATTGTGATAGGTCTTTGATATTTAATATAAAGTTGCATTACTATCAGTACATATCAGTTGGACAAATATTTTGAGGCCCTGCCCCCTAGGTTATGGACCAGCAACTTTAAATTAACTAGCAATTTTCAATGTTAAGTTTTCTGCTTAAGTCAGTTTGATAAGAACTACTTGTGACAGATCAATGATATGTTGTATAAAGTTGCATTGCTATCAGTACATCTCAGTTTGTCAACCATTTCTAGGCCCTGCCCATAAGATCATGGTCCAGCAACTTTGAATTAATGAGCAATGTTGCTGTCCATCAGATTGTCTTTTTCTGAATTTTATGTGGACAGGCGTGACATATCTCTGTGTCAACAGTTTATTGTCATAAACTTCAGAAAAACTGGTGATGCTATTATGGAATTGTTAAATGAATTTTTCCTCATTTTTCCAGACTATTTTTCTACATAGATTAGTCACATTAAGACTAAGTCTTTGACCCATTTTTCTTTTTTGCCTGAAATTATCGAAAATCTTCTTTTTTTTTATTGAATCAATTTTATTCAAAATTGACAGGTGACCCTCTAGTATTCTATATACATGTATAGGGAACGTGGTGAATGCTTGCATTGCACAACATGATGGTCTTCTGAACTCTTTAAACTTTCTTATATTTATATTGAAATCAGATGTCAATCATGGTATAGCATAATAGAAATGTATACTTTTATCTTGCATAGAAAAATGTCAGTTTTCTTCATGTTTTATTTTAATCACTTATGCTTATTTTTGCTTACTGTTGCAGCTTTTCTTAGCCTACCTCTTGTTAACCGTAAGTTTGAAAGAAATGCTGCTACTATGTACCAGTATAAAACGGAATATACAGGTGAGCTTTTTGTTTAGAAAGGAATCAGATTATTTCTATTGGAAGTCTTTTAAAAGTGTGTTAAAGAGGAATTACAAATACTGGAATACATAACAGAAACATTAACTGTTAGTTTGTCATTTAAATCAGTCTAATATTAAAAGAATGTGTTTTTTCTGTAACCTTATCTTCCCTATATTTAACCCTCTAACTTAATTCTTTTTAACTATTTTTTATTAAAGTCACAATGTTTCCTAAAAAGATTCAAGGTAAAAATATTTGGAAAAAAAAATCCATACCTACCAACCCTAATTTTCAACCTGGTTTTCAGACTGAAATCCTGTCATTGAATTTGGGTTGTACAGTGTTGGATCAAGTTGTTTCTGTCCAATCACTTATGAACACTTCAACCAATGCTTTTTTCAAATATGTTTTTTTTCTGATGACAAAATGGAGGTCAAGTTCAACATTGACAGTTTACAGTTTACACTCCTGTCATTCATGAGTTATGGTCCTTGATTGATTGAAAAATGGCACTTTATATTGCTTCGTTGCAATATTCGTAACATTCATCCAATCACGTTTTAAAATTTTGTTACTGATAACAAAAGGGAATTTCATTTCCCTCTTCCTGCCCTTTTATTAATTTCAACAATTTTTTCCTTCACAATTACAGAAATACTGCTTTGTGTTAATTTGACAGTTCATTTTTTGTTTCATCATGTGACAGCAAACACTTGCATAGCAGAATTTCGATTTTACCACCGAAATTTTGCAGGGCTGACACTATTTTGGTATTTTGCAATAGAAATATTAGTAAGGACCACAAGGGAAAACAGGATTTTGAGAACTCTGGCAAATATTTGTTTTGGGCAACACAGAAGTAAATCATGATCAAAGCAGAACAATTTTACACAAGACTTTAAAATACAATTTAGAAACAAAAATTAGTTTTTTTATTGCATAATGAAGAAATATAATTATGATGAAAGAAAAATAGTTAAGCTTTTCATGGTTATTTAAAATGGGAAATCTTGAAAATGATGTTGACTCTGCCAAGTGTTTACATTTAGAGTCATTAATAATAGGCACATCAATTGTGTGATATCATGTACCAAACATCTAAGTGACATTTTGCGAAAAAAATTCACAGGTAATAAATAAAAATTGCCGAAGAAGAAGAAAAAAAAAGTAGTAATCAGAACAAAATCAAAAGGTCTTTCCACATTAAAGTGGAAAGACCTAATGAAATGAAACAGTTACTGTTTGCACAAGTTTTAATATGCACTTGGTTTTTAAATTGTACCCCTCTTTAAGCACATTTTTGAGAGGCTTTCATAGTATATTGTCTTCATTTAATGCTTGTTAGAGTTACACTCGTCCAATTTTCTTTGTTGCTTTTGCCCCATCCTCACTGACACAATCAAATGTAAAAAATATATGTGGTACATAGATGCTATATATCTGTTTTAATAACGGTCTGGTAAAAACACACAAGTGACTTCAAACCTTTTTAAGAGTTATCTCAAATACCCCAGGTTATTCCCTTAAGGGGTTAACAATAAAGAGATTTTCTGAGATTAAATAAAAAATGTATCTTCTGATATTGACGCTTGTTTACCATTGAAGAATGTATGTTGACATCGAGATGTGCTTTTCCTTTTTTTGCTCTGTAGAGTTGCTGTCTCATTGATGTATACCTTCAGTTACTTTTAATTCATATAACAATATATATCAAAAGTTCTTTTACTTCCATGGATTAACATAGGCTCAGAAGATTTGACTTTTAACAGGTCCATTTTAGATCCCTTAAATATGTGTTCCCCTTAAACTCGTATAGTAATACTCTCTAGATATGTTCCTTGAATATATATTCATGAATCATAAGCCTGAATTTTTACGTCCCAAAAAATTAGACCTGGTCTAAACACATGTCTTTAGTTACAAATGCCTCAGCATACCCTGGTAACAAGGTTTTTTAGACCAGACAAAAGCTGGCATTAACATTTACATTACCTAGCTCTGTTAGGAAAAAAAGGTTTTGCACCAGCCACTCTACACTGAAAGCCATTTACAACCATAGATTCATGTTTGCATTGATATTTTCTTCAGTGCTTCAACATACTTCTTGTTTATAACCATTATCCATGTTATTTCTTTTTACAGTGTTAAGAGATACAGAATTAGATCCTAAAAAACTTGCAGGCTATAATGCAGATGAAGTAGAGGCAGCAAAGAAGAGGACAGGACTTTATATGGACAAATAATTGTTTACAATGTAAATACTTTGTGTATTAAAATATGAAGATTCGAGCTTGTTTCCTAGCCATGCATATATATTAAAAATAATTGTTTACCTTATTAGCAATTTACTTTATTGTATCAAGAATGTGTAATCAGATTTATTTAAAGAAGAAAAAAAAAAAAGATTAGATTTAAATATGATGTAAAAATAGAAGTGTGCTACAACAAAAAAAATATCTGATTTTTAATATCCAAAGGACATTAAATGTCATATAAAAGAGGGACGAAAGATACCAGAGGGACAGTCAAACTCATAGATCGAAAACAAACTGACAACGTCATGGCTAAAAATAAAAAGACAAACAGACAAATAATAGTACAGATGACACAACATAGAAAACTAAAGACTAAGCAACACGAACCCCACCAAAAACTGGGGGTAATAATCTCACGTACAAAAAAACAACACTGAAAACTAAAGCGGCTATTATAGACATATTTTCATAAGAAGAGCACATAAGAAGACAACACAAACTTAAGTAATGAAAAAAAGCTGTGACAATTATTTTTATGTTGGTACCATTTGAATTGCTTATTGATTCATGTTAATAGGAGGCACATACTTTTTGAGTGGAATATTACAAAATTTTAAGGGACAAGAACATTGTAGCAGTGCTTCTTCTTTAGTTATTAGTGGATTTTTAGAGAATTTAGGAACAAATATAGTATAATAAGTTTTCATTAACTGATTTAAAAATAATTGGCTGAATAGGTGGGCCAAATACAAAGATTGACATCATTTTAGAAAGGTGTAGAGGTATTGATCACTTTCCCTCACATGTCCCTCTGCCTCTATAAAAATTAAAAAAGCTTTTCAGGAGCAGTTTTGACTGTAATGAACATTCTTAATATTATCTTTCAAAATTTTATTTAAAATTTTAATTAGTAAGAAAGCCATTTCAAAACTTTCATTGCTTGGAAATTTGTTGTGAAGACTTCCCAGTAAAACAAATAGATTCTTCATTTATCTTTAATAAAATTGAATACATGTGATGCCTGACAAAAAAAAAGATTTGCTGTCACAACAAACTGACAGGTCATTCTATATCAGTCCTGGTCATTGGGCTTTTCTTAAATCTAAGAATTTAGTAAGTATGACCAATAAATATTATAGAATTTGTTCATATGAATAAAAGGAGATGTGGGGTATACCTCAAAAAGACTGCAACCAAATGCCTAAAATAACCAAAAGACATCTAGATGGCAACATACAGTCCACTAATGGAAGGGTATCCATACAATAAGTCAGGATTTATCATCCTCAGTCTATAGAAGTTGTGAACAATTTTACAGAAAAAAATCAAGATCTGCCATTAATCATGTCTTGACCTAACTGTTGTTTAATGCTTGTCCTTGACATAAACCCTTCTGGAAACAGATCAATATCATTTTGATTTAAGAGATCTCAGCTTTGCATCTGTCCATGTTAAAGACCTTTCAGAAATCTCGGCTTTGTATCTGTCCTTGACAAAGACATTCCAGAAATCTCAGCTTTGTATCCATCCTTGACAAAGGGGGGGGGGGGGGGAGGCGGCTACCAAACAGTGTCCGTTCATTTACATGAAAACGCTAAGATGAAATTTTTTCAAATTTTGACATGTTGTTTCCTGTGACTAAATGAAGATCAAGTTCAATTTTCACGACTTTAGCTTTTCTCGTTCTTGAATTTTTGACCCTTTTAGAAACCAGAAATTTACTTATTATATAATTGAGTTATTTCCCTTTGAACGGAAATAAATAAGTTTATGTATAGCTGAGATGTATAGATAGTCTATCAATGATTGTATCTGTTCAACTGATTAGTCAGGAGTTGTCAAAAAATTTCTTTATAGATAAAAGAAGATGTGGTATGAGTGCCAATGAGACAACTCTCCATCCAAGTCAAAATTTATAAAAGTAAACCATTATAGGTCAAAGTACGGTCTTCAACACGGAGCCTTGGCTCACACTGAACAGCAAGCTATGAAGGACCCCAAAAATTACTAGTGTAAAACCATTCAAACAGGAAAACCAACGGTCTAATCTATATAAAAAACGAGAAACGAGAAACACTTATGAACCACATCAACAAACAACAACTACTGAACATCAGATTCCTGACTAAGGACAGGTGCAAACAATTGCAGCAGGTTTAAACGTTTTAATGGTACCAAACCTTCACCCTTATCTGAAACAATAATGTAACATCATAACATAGAAAGACACACTATAAAATATCAATTGAAATGGCTTAACTCAATCAAAAGACATATTAACACCAGTGAACATACACTGAACAAATAAATTTGATCTATGATACAATGTAAATACAAAATAAATAAACAAAGGGAAGAATAATAAAAGTAACATGTTATACCGCTGTGAAATGTTATATATGCTTGAACAAAAATATCAGCCATTTGCAATTACTTTAAACACAGGTAAATGAAAATAATTTTGTTGTTAGGTATACGTGTACAGTTCAAATAGAGAAAGGAAATATTTTAACAAAATAAATAATTTTGATGTTCATAGTACGAAGAAGTGAAAATTTATAGTAATACCAAACACTTATCAAAGCTGGTATATAGACTAGATATAACCCTGAATAACATTAAATAACAAAAAAGCATTACAATTAGTATCAACAGGTCGAATAAACAAGAAAGTACGATTTGAGAGTATTCACAGTTACTGACAGCTAGTTAAAAGCCAAAAAAAAAAAAATAATAAATAACATGCATCAGAGACTAAAATCAACTAAAACACATCCCAGGGATTTAGTATTTTAACGTCATGGACAGTCAAAGAAGACATGACTTGTGCAATGCCAACAATAAATGTATCGACAGGCAGTAGGATAGTTAGGAGTTAACCTCTTTATAGATCAAAATGAACGTGGGTGTGTCTTTATACATCCCGTTTGAAAAGAATACAAATTGAGTTATATTTTAATTTGCTGATGACAAAATGGATATTAGTGCCAATGTAAACTATATTCAAAGATCTAATTACAACATTGGTAAGATAACCTTTACTAATAAGTTTGTTTAAAAGTTCAATGAGTTTACACGGATCACATAGTGATTTCCGCGCTTTAAGTACAATATTACCGTATAATTTAGGATGTGAAATACCGTTTTTAATCAGTTTTCTACAGGGACAGCCAAATTTACTAATCAAATCTTTGTATCTATGAAAGAGTTTAGTAAAAGTTTTACGTAATTTATGGTAAAGAAATCCCTGATTTAATAATTTACCAGTCACGGATGCATTGATTACGTTCGTTAAAATCTATATGACATCACTACACACACGGGCATAACGAACGAGTTGGGATATATAAACACCGTATGATGGAGCCAAAGGAACATCGCCGTCTAAAAAAGGAAAATTAACAAAAGGGAATGAAAAGTCGTCTCTTTTGTCGTAACTATTTTTTTTAGTCGTGTGTTTTGAAGGTAGATTTCACAGTTGCTATGTGGTATTTTATTTTTGTTGTGTGTGTTAAAGTTAAATTTTTACTTGATCCTGTTTGGGTGTCCAGATTTGCAAATATCATTTTCATTAGATAATAATCTATTTTTATTAAAGGATATATTTCATTACATTACATTGTGTAGATAAAGTTGTTGACATTGAAAGATAAGACGCAGATAAGATATTAGATTGTGACAAATGAGAGAAAAAATATTGGGAACTATTAATTATATTTGATTATAATTTGAAAACATCATATCTAATTTTAGAAAACAATTTTTTAATGGTGAAATCATATCTAATTATGCCCCCGCCGTAGCGGTGGGGGCATTAAGTTTTACCCTTGTCCGTCTGTACATATGTACGAACGTACGTACGTCCCAAAATTGGTTTGTCTCAACCAAATGTTATGAAACTTATACACAATGCTTATTACCACAAAACACAGATCAAGTTTGAATTTTGGTGGCGTCACTCTTACCGTTCTAGAGTTATGCCCCTTTACATATGGAAAAATTGCTAAATTTTTAATTTTCCGTTCTCTAACTTTAGTTTGCCTCAACCAAATGTTATGAAACTTATACACAATGCTTATTACCACAAAACACAGATCAAGTTTGAATTTTGGTGGCGTCACTTTTATCGTTCTAGAGTTATGCCCCTTTACAAATGGAAAATTGCTGAATTTTTCATTTCTGTTCTCTCACTTTAGTTTGCCTCAGCCAAATGTTATGAAACTTCTACACAATGCTTATTACCACAAAACACGGGTCAAGTTTGAATTTTGGTGGCGTCACTTTTACCGTTAAAGTTATGCCCCTTTACAAATGGAAAAATTGCTGAATTTTTCGTTTCCGTTTTCTTACTTTAGTTTGCCTCAACCAAATGTTATGAAACTTATACACAATGCTTATTACCACAAAACACAGATCAGGTTTCAATTTTGGTGGCGTCACTTTTACCATTCTAGAGAAATGGCCCTTTACAAATTGAAAAATAGCTGAATTTTTCGTTTCCGTTCCCTTACTTTAGTTTGCCTCAGCCAAATGTTATGAAACTTATGAAACCCGGTTGAAATAGAACAAAAGAATTGAAGCTCTTTGTTAGAGAAGGCGATAAATGCTTACTGTAATGTTTACTATAGTAACAAATTTTTTAAAAGTTCATAAAAGCAAATAAAATGACAATTTTCTGCTCAATTACGAAGTATTTTATTTTAAAAACACCATTTGCATAAGTTTTCAATTTATCTATTACAAAGTTAAGCAGAACAATTAGATATCAAGTCGACGACATGGGTATCTATCAAGTTGGATGTAGAAAATGCATAACCTCCGATTTAAAAATTTTTTTTACCACGGACGGAGAACATATCAATCTATTACTTCAGTAATTTTCGTGTCTGCCCTTCCATTATTTGACTCAAGAAAAAAATCCAAAAAATGGGTAACAATTGTATCGAAAAGAGAAAATCGAGTGTACCTTTTTATGTTAGGGCGTGTTTGAGTTGACTATTTCGTTTTGAAAACGTACAAAGCAAGAGTATTTGA